AAAAGCAGTTTTATGTTCTTTAAATAATACCGCATTTACCTTGCTCTAAAAAAAACCTCACAGAGAGGGTTGTTTAGAAACAAAAGTAAAATTGGAAAGTTATGATATTTGCTAAAGAACCTGTGAATCACTGTGAGTTGGAAATGGTGACTGCACAATATCTATCTATTTATTTGGAATTTTTGTATGCCGTCCCATTGGCATGAGCCTCGGGACGGCTTCCATACAATAAATAAACAGAATACAAATAGTGCACATAAAATCCAGATTCACCCTGGCTGCAAAATTAAAAACCTATAGATGATATTAAAAATTGTTAAAATATTGTTTAAATAAAAAGGTCTTAGCCTGGCGCCGAAAAACAAATAACGACGGCGCCAGGTGGACCTCTCTGGGGAACGCATTCCATAGGTGGGGCGCCACCACAGAGAAGGCCCTCCTCCGGGTACTTTGCCTCCTGATGTCTCTCATGGAGGACTCCCGGAAGAGGGCCTCTGCCGCCGATCTCAGGGGGCGGGAGGGCAAATATGGAAGCAGGCGTTCCTTTAGGTATCCAGGTCCCAAGCCGTTAAGGGCTTTATAGGTGATAACCAGCACCTTGAATTGAGCCCGGACTTCGATGGGGAGCCAGTGAAGCTGGCAGAGGACTGGGGTATGCCTTAATAAATGCCTTATGTAGAAAAGTTGCCAGATACTTGCTCCTCTGAGGTAGAAGAGGACGAGCAAAAGATGTAATACTTAAGTCGTGCTGCTGACATGGGGCAGCAGTCACTCCCAGCCCAAATTCACGTCTGTCGCGTCTGTCTTGAAGGTAGTGCAGCTACCTCGGGCGGGGGGGTGGGGGTCTTCCTTTCCCATTCCACTCTGCAAGGACTTTGAAAGGACTGCTTTGACTGACAGGCATGGGCGCCCTTTGGCCTGCCTCCAGTTCAGGCTTCTCTACCCAAGGACAACGTAGTCCTGTTCAGGTGGAACAGGATGTCTTAAGGAGCTCCACCCCCTGGTGCCACTCAGGCCACGTAGCTCCTTCCCAAGACACCTGCTGTGGAAGAGTCTGCAGGAAGAGGACAGAAGTCCCTGAAAGTTCAGGTGTGGGTGCAAAACCTCTTCCAGCTGGCATTTCCACTAGACACGCAGAAGCCTTAGGGAGGGACTATATGATTTGCATGACATCTGGGGGCAAAGTCATGTCGTGAGCAGAGCCGCCTGGAGCCGGGGGTCAGACTTGATGGCCCGGGAGGCCCCTTCTGACTCGTTCTGTTTCTAAGTGACCTGGCAGAGTCCTGCATTTGTCCATGGTATCCAAACAGGGGTGATGTCTCTGTAGAAGCAGCTCATAAGAAGGTTGAATGTGGGAAGGGTGGTAAAAATGTATTCTGCTCTGCAAATATTTCTCTAGCGACAGACTCAATTTCATCCCCCTGCTACTCCCAGGAGCACGTTCAGTCCTGATAATAATATTTCTTGCACTCACAGTATGTTTCTCGGAGTCTGATCTCAGCCACACTGCCCTGTTGAGCCGTCTCTGGGTTTCCTGCTCTCCCTTAAAGAGCCTCCTGGCTCCATAACTCGGTCAGGACTGTATCTTTCTCAGGGGCAGCCACTGCATGAGTAACCTTCATGTGCTTCCTCATCAGCAGAACATGCAGGAGGGGAAGCTGCTCGGGGCCATATTTCGCTCACTGAGGTCGGGACGGAGGAATTCCTCCAGAAGCTGACGTCGCAGATCACAGAGATGGTGTCTGCAAAGATAAGTCAAGGTAACGGCAGGACCAGCGCAATCGAATCTCCTTCATGCAGGAGGACATCTCTCCTGGCTTGGCGGAGGGTCAGCTATGGGTCTGAGGCTTACATACCGTCCAGACCAGTTTGCAGTCACCTGTGTCCGCCCTGGAAGTGTTTGCTTAACCATTCCTGGGACTTTATTGTCCTGCTCCGTCTGCTTTGGGGTTGTTTTAAAGCCACGCTACTGCTTTATTCGTTAAGCTGCCCCAGGAACTTTATTCTAGGCAGTGGGATGTGAAGGAAGGATGCGCCCTTTGTCTGTGAGAGGGACTCTTGAGGTGCTGGGGTGTTGTGGTTTCACGCCGCTCCTGCCTACAGCTCTAGACAAACCTACAAGCCTGAGAAGAGGGATCCCTTGGGCTGCCACTCCTCTCTCCCGGCTGCCACGGGAAGCTCCGTAGCGGCTCCTCTTTGGAGGTGGATTTTGCAGCCCCTGGAGGGGATGAGGAGGGGGACAGATAGGGGGCAGGATGGGGGGCAGAGAGGGGAGTTAGAAGACTACGCACCTATTAATCCTGTGCGCTGATCAGTCAAAAGGCTGGGGAAATGCCTCCCCCCGTCCTCTTGTTCTGCCCAGCAAGGCTTAGGATATGTGGAAATCTCCCTTTGAGAACTGTCTTGAATGAGAACCTTGCAACACTTTGGGGCAGAAGGAAGGCTTTCTTCCAGACAGTGGCAGCCTGCAGAGAACCGGAGTTGCTTCCTGGCCCCCCAGCCTTCTTGCCTACACAGACCTTTCCTCTTTGCTTTCACCCCCCTCCGAGTCTCTCTGCTGACTCGTTCTCCCCCTGCAGCATCCCTTCCTCCTGTTCCTGCCCAAAGCATTCTTCTCCCTCCCCGCCTCCAGCCTCCAGAGTTGCTCTCTCCCCGCTCTGCCCCTTGGCCTTGCTGTTTTCCCTGCCTCCCAGCCTCTCACTTTTCTATCTCCTCCTGTCCCACCTCTCTGGCTCACTTGGAACTAGCCAGGCAGCCATTCTGCAACTGGCCGTCTCTTCCACCAGCACCATTTTGTAGCCGCTTCTCAAATTCCCACGTGTGCCCAGGGGTTTGGATCAGTTGACGATCTGTTCTCTAAGGAAACAAAAAGATGCGTGCAGGCCATATTAGCGAGAAGCATTTATTTATGTAAAATATTTACATCCAGTCCTATATGAGAAAACATCCCAGGATGGCTTACAAAAATTTTAACAATAGATAACAACAACAAATAAAAACTGTAAACAACAAAAACACAATACCAGCAAAAATCAAAATCAAAAGCAACTGAGTGTTAAAACCAATTAAAATTTCTAATTCTTAAAATGACGGGTAAATAAAAAGGTTTTCACCTGGTGCTAGAAGGAATATAAAGTCGGCGCCAGGCGAACCTCTCTGGGGAGCGCATTCCAGAGTCTGGGAGCCACCGCAGAGAAGGCCCTCCTCCGGGTAGAGACCTTCATTTGATTTCAAATGTTTGCCTTGTGACAAAAGCCGCTGTCCCCTTCGTGCCCTTGCGTTTCAGCCACGCTCCGAGTCCCTGGGGCAGACAGCGACGATGAATCGAAGACACCGTCCGCATCGCCACGACACGGCAGGTCCAGACCTTCCTCAACTGCTCAAGAGTCTTCCTCGGAGTCTGATGAAGGGGATGCCCGGGGAGAGGTACGGCACGTACAGCCAGCAGGGCCTAGGCAGAAGAATATCGCGTTCCCAGTGCATGGAACACTCTGCATGTTTTGCGGAACATGAAAAGGTCGACAAGGGCAGTGCTGGACCTCAGATTCCCACTGCAGTGGCCATGGGCTCTTCGTGTCCAGGAAGAAAGGGAAGTAAAATAAGCAGAGAAGGAATTGAGTTGGTCAAAGACGTGCATGGCTGAAACCAAGCGCAGGAAACATTTGAACATGGCACGCATATGCAGAGGCACATGGGCATTGTGTGGTACTTTGCAGGGTCATGATGCCATTTTTAGTAGCGGCCACACTTTTGGTTTCAGATAAGCTCACGAACAGAGTTGGAAGCTTGTCTTTGGAAGCCAGGAGGAGATAAGTGAAAACTAAAACCAGTGGATTGCTGAAGACTTATCTGTGGTTCTATGGCTGAGCTGGAATCTGAACCCGGGATGGGATCCACTCCACTGACCAAATGTTATTTCAAATTCTAGAAGCACATAAAGTGAAGCAGGCATTAATCTCTTCAAACATGGAGCTGCAGGGCCCTTTCGTGTACTTGGTTAGTTTCCCCCTGCATTTCGGTGTCTCTTCTCTATAAAATACACTGAATCAGTCTTCTGTCTACAGATTTTTGATATCTACATGGTCACTGCTGATTACTCACCCATGGGTGCTGACCATGAAACCATCTCCTTGAAAGAAGGACAGTATGTGGAGGTCTTAGATTCTGCTCATCCTCTGAAATGGTTGGTGAGGACCAAACCCACCAAGCTCAGTCCATCCAGGCAAGGGTGGGTTTCCCCCGCCTACCTGGATAAAAGGTTAAAGGTGAGAGTCATGCATGTTCCAACACACACCCTCCTGAAATTTGCTTTATTGGATTCTTTGGTTTCTGCAAGTCTCTGAATAACAGATCTACCAAATGAAGTAGAGACACACAAAATGTGCTCAAGTCTTTCCTCTTAAATGCTCATGTGAGAAACTGGAGGAGCTGGAAGAGAATTCACAGCTTTGCATCACTGAATGATTCGCTTGGCCAAGGAAGGCCTTGTGAACTCCAGGTTTTGGAGGGTTCCTGGGCCAGATGCCCTCAGTGACTCTTAAAGAAGTTTATTTAAACCGTCCACTTGTGTTTTAAACAAAAAGCAGCCCAGAAACCCTCTCCAAAGGTGTGGAGTTCTATCGCAATGGCTTGAGCAGATGCTATTGTGTCAACACAGAGATGGTAATAAAGCGTCAATGCTGATGTACTCCCAGATGCATTAAGTCACTGTTATTCTACTATTCTATGTATTTTTATCCTGCCTATTCCCAAAGATTGGGTCTCTAGGCATCTATAGAAGAGCATTTCTATGCACAGAATCTCTAAGGTTCAAGCTATCATTCCATTTAAAAATGGCTAAGAAATGGATGAGCAGCTGCAGTTTAAAGAATTTTCTTTTGAAATGGGGATTGCTTGTCTCTACCTTTGGGGCATCCCATAGCATACCTCCAGCTTTTTTCCTTTGGGCAATTTAAATTCCATCAAAACTTCAGGGAAGGAAACAGCTGTTTGATTTTTGTAGAATGGTCTCATTTCTACTGTATACTGAACAGAAATGTTTAACATGCCATTCTGAGAACAACTGGAGCTTCCAAAAAGGGCTGTTCGGAAGCAGAATAATGTGCAAACCTTTCACTGCCATTCTGATTCCAAAAGATTGTCTAGCTTCAATCCTGGGATTTCAGAGGGGGGTCCACATGCCATGGACAACTTTGTCACTCTAGCAAGGCACCCTGGGTAAACCCACAGATGTGCTCTTGACAGATGTGGGCCTCTATGAGCCTTACATTGGCTTGCCTTGGTTTCAGCTGTCAACCGAGTGGGGAGGTCCAGAGACTCTGGAGTTCCCTGGAGAATCCGTTTCAGAGGACGAATACAAAAAGAAGCTGAGGTGAGCATTTTGTGAAGGGTTTTCCGAGAAGACTTGCCGGTTTCTTCTTTGCGTTTATGGGTCGAACTGTGCTTCAGCTTAGGGTGTAGTCTTGAGCCATTTCAGACAGAAAACAGGGCCTGCGGCTCCCTGCACGCCCCAGCTGGCCGTGCTTTTCTTCCCTAGCACGGGGCCATGCCTATAGCCGTGCTGGCAAGAACATGTTCAAAGTGATCGGTTCTATTTGGGAGAAAACTCAGCTGCCGTGGCCCAGGCTGGAATAGAGTCCTGGTCTGTACCAGAGCCTGTAGCATTTTCCTTCCAGTCTATTCATTCCACATTTGCCACATATCCTCGGCCGGGTCATATATGACTCTTCACCGCTTCTTTGCGCCCTGCGGAGGTGCTGCCTGCCAAGCAGATATTCAAATGGTCCCCTCCATTTAAAAACGAAGCAACACCAACAACTCTCTGAATAGAAGACCAGGAGGAGACAGAGGGAAGAACGTTTCCCCAGGGTGTCTTAGCTTTCTCTTTGCAAGGACAGGTTCTTCTTTTTGTAACCCGGGAGTGCCATCTGAAGCGGTACCGCTCAGAAGCGTGCTCTCTTCTGCCTTCCCGGAGTCCTGTCTCCTCTCCTTGGTGCAGATGGAGACCTGCCATGGAACTCCCCCTTGCGTGACTGAATAGGCTTTGTCTCCCACCCCCGTCCCCCTTCATTGGCTCACTAAGGCATTGCCTTTGTGCCTCCTGGGCTGCCGTTGGGGCTCCTTTCCTGCGGTGTGGGATGAGAAGGGTGGAACGTGCACGAGGTCCCCCTCTGAACCTGCAGCCGTCCTCTGCCTTCCTCTCCCCCTCCCTTTCTGCTTAGCCTCATTATTCAGGACCTGCTCAACACAGAGGAGGAGTTTGTGAAGGACCTGCAGTTTCTCCAGACCCACCACATCCAGTTCACCGAGACCTGCCCCGTCGTCCCCATCGCCGTCTCCAGCCAGAAGCTCATTATCTTCCGAAATGTGACAGATGTCACTCACTTCCATGCCAAGTATGTGTGTCCGCACGGCAAAGGCGGCAGGGGCCGGCGCACCTTGGGCGCACCTGCCTGCTGTGAGAGGGCGTCGCTTGAAAGCCAGCACACCTTGGCTGCCGCCCGCAGCCACGCTGTCTTTGACTTGTCGGTGTTGAACCACAATGACTGGGATCAGGCAACACTCAAGGGATTGTTGAATTGTGGGTTATCCTGTTGTCTGACCCCAACAAGCCATGCCTTCTGAACCTTGAAGAGAACTGTACTTTGCTGCTGGGTGATGACCTGGGAGTTGTTTGCCATGGTTGGCCATCTCTGCAGGGTTCAGACAATGGGGTAACCCACCCTCGGCCCACCCTCCACCCTTGAGTTGCCTGAACTCAGTGTGTGTGTGTGAGTGTGTGTGTGTGGTGGTACCCACAGCAGCAAAGGTGGTTCTGGTGGCTGTCTGGGGTTGTCAAGATCAGCTGGTGCTCTGCAGGGGGGTCCCAGGGAATCATACCTAGTCCCACGGAACTGTCCCATTCCAGATATCGTTTAATGTTTTAATGTCACAGTCTGTTGCTTCTCCTCCTCCTCCTCCTCCTCTCATAAGTGGGTCTTGTCCTACATGGGGCTGCACTCCCTCTGAAGGACAGGGTTTGCAGCTTAGGAGTGTTCCTCGACCCTGAGCTGTCTCTAGAAGCTCAGGTGACGGCGGTGGCGAGGAGCGCCTTCCTTCAGCTTCGGCTGATCCATCAGCTGCGTCCCTTCCTGGAGAACGACTGCCTGGTGACAGTGTCACATGCGTTGGTGACTTCTGTAACGCGCTCTACGTGGGGCTACCCTTGAAGACGGTCCGGATTCTTCAATTGGTGCAGAATAGAGCTGCCAGGTTGCTGACGGGGACTGGGCATTGTTCTCATATAACCCCAGTTCTCCATCAGCTCCACTGGCTCCTGATTGAAGTCCGGGCCCAATTCAAGGTGTTGGTTATGACCTATAAAGCCCTCAACGACTTGGGACCTGGGTATCTAAAGGAGCGCTTGCATCCATATATGCCCTCCCGCCCCTTGAGATCAGCAACAGATGCCCTTCTCTGGGAACCCTCCGTGAATGATATTAGGAGGGTGAGTACCCGGAGGAGGGTCTTCTCTGCGGTGGCGCCCCACCTATGGAATGCGCTCCCCAGAGAGGTCCGCCTGGCGCCGTCATTATTTGTTTTTCAGCGCCAGGCTAGCCGAGATGCACCGGAGGTTTTTAAATAAAATTTTTTATTGTTACATTGTTATTTATTTATGTATTTTGTTTCTGCTGTGAGCAGCTCCGAGGCTTCATTGCGATGGGGGCGGCATAAAAATGTTTTAAATAAAAGTGAATAATAAATAAATAAGTCTTCTCCTGGTCCACAGCACCTTCTTCCCAGAGCTCCAGAAGTGTGACACGGATGACGATGTGGCCATGTGCTTCATCAAGAACGAGGGGGAATTCGACAAGTACATCCAGTACCTCGTGGGCCGAGTACAAGCCGAGTCCGTTGTCGTCAATAAAGCTGTCCAGGAATTCTACAAGGTGAGGCCGCTGAGCCCAGCCTGATCCCTCCCCTCCGTGCAAACTCCCTTTCGCACGAAAGCGTTCCACTTTCCGAACAAGGCTATCAGCTTGCACGTCACGTGGGGATATGCTGAGCCGCTCCAGGCCCCAGTTCGCACGTGCTCATCAGACTTCTCCTGCTGCTTGTCTCTCTCCGAGGAAGAGAGCCAAGCCCGGAACGACTCTGTGTGCATTCACGGGCCCCGTTGCACAGCCATCCCTGGGGCCAGCCTCCCTCTCCACTCGCTGCCAGCCGCAGCAGCAGCGCACGGGGGAAAGGGGTCCAGTGAGCAGGCAAGCTGGCTACTTTCCCAGTGGCCAGCCAAGGAGCTGCCTGTGGGGCTTGGTGCCCAAGCCCTGGGCACTTTCGGCAGGAACTTGGGCCCAGGGCTGCTGCAATGCGGACCGGAGTCCAGGACGCTGGAAACCAGGGATTTCCCACTCAACGTGGATTCCTCACACGTCCCTCCTGTCATGTGCTTTTATGGCAAGTGGGGCAGTCTCTCCAAATCATCCCAGCACCAGCACCATAATCTTGGAGGTCCAGGGCAAAGCTGCTTGGAACCAGCTGCTCCTCGGATGGCTGGGGCCCTGCCTGGCAAAGGACAGGCTTTTGTTTAAACAGCTGTCAGGGGAGTGTCCTTTGCTGGAAGGTGCCTCCTTTCGAAGGGCCGCCCAGGCCAAGCCTAAGTTCAAATGAAGAACCATGAAGAACCGAAGAAGAATAAACATCCTTGAGGTGACTCGTTTGCAGCACCTGGACGGCAGGTGGAACAGTGGTGGTTGTACTGGCCGAGTGGTCCCCAATACAGGAAAAGTCTTGCATTTCTGCTCAGATGGCAGATATTTTTTCAAATTTGCACATATATCTATACAGTAACATGTTTATCAATGTTCGGCCCACCCAGATTGCATGAATCTTCAGAGCTAGTCTTGCCTGACCGTGTGATTCTCTGTAAATGAGCCAAGCCTTTTTCTTCCTGATCTAAGAGCCAACAGGCTGTAACTTCTCCATTGTTGTGTTTTGACATCCAGCGCTATACAGAGGGGACATTATCCAGTGAAGATCCTTCCCAGCCCCCCGTCCTTCCTCTGCAACACTATTTGGAGATACCAATCATCAGGATTCAGAAATATCAAAATGTAATCAAGGTCAGCATCCTTCCTTTAATATTTGATGGTTTGGGGCCACAGTGATGCTGGTTGTTCTGGGGCGATCTTTTTGGGTTTGATTTCAGTCCTTCCTAGTTCTGCATAGTTACCATAATTTTCATGATATATGGAGTGACCAGCACAGCACTGGTTCTGTACTCTTGTTTGCTACCATGATGTATCACAATAATCTCTGCAATTATGGGAAGATAAGAGAGGAGGAGGAGGAGGTCTGTGCAGCATTCATGGGTAAACTACTATGTTCAATGGAATGTGTCCGAGTGTTGGATTGTGTTTATCCCCAGGCAGAATGGACAATCTGCAGACCAGGGTGCATTTGTAAAGCGTTAAAGAAGCTAGCTAGCCGGACACCTGTGAAATCCAAGTTAATTGTCTGAGATGCATTCTTATTTCTTAGAATTATATGCCATTTATTTTGTTTGCTGAAAGATGTTTTGGTCTTGAGCATGCATAAACTGATGGATATGAATGATGCAAAGCATGCAATTTTATGTATCTGCAGGAGCTAATCCGAAATAAAGCACGGAATAATCAAAACTGTGCGCTGCTGGAACAAGCTTATGCGGTTGTGTCTGCACTAACCAGGCGAGCAGAAAACAACCTCCATGTTTCCCTCATTGAGAACTATCCGGGAACGCTGGAAATTTTAGGGGAGCCTATCCGACAGGTAATTTCACTCTAATCACTGGCAGACATGATGGATTAGAGGGTGTTTTGGCTCCCTCTCAGAGACAAAAAGTGCTGAGTTATTTTGATTTGCTTTTATATTCCCTCTTGCTTTTCCCTGGCAAAGTTAATAATCCTTTTTCTTACGGCCTGGTTAAACATTTCTGTAGGCTTTTTAATGGGACTGCTTTGCACCTTGTCATGTTTAGGTTTCCCGTCTGAAAATAGCTATTTTGCTCCTTCTCCACACGTTTCCTTCAGCCATAGCAAAGCTCGCCTTTCTTCGATCCAGTTTGCAACCTTTCTTCCCTCTTCTCTGTGGCCTTGGCATCATGTATCCAGCTGGAAGAGGCCTGGATACCCAGTGGGTCCGACCCCGTACTCGGTGCAGGACCCAAGACTCCCTTCCGGCTTCCAACCAGGCCTGACCTGGCATAGCTTCCAGGCCTAGACAGGACCAGACCCGTCAGGCCGTGCGGAAACGTAGACCAAGCAAAGCAGATTCTGGGACGTGACTCACTTTTATTTCTGGTGAATGGGAGGCTGGGCAAAGTTGAGAACCAGGCTAGGAATGTCCCACTTTCTGTGGACGCTTCGCAGAGCGCAAAGTCTGCCAGCTTCCCCAGCTGGATTTGTTTTCCTTTCCAGGGACAGTTCATTGTCTGGGAAGGGGCACCGGGAGCCAGAATGGCTTGGAAGGGGCACAAGCGACACGTCTTCCTCTTCAAGAATTACCTCCTGGTGTGCAAGCCAAAGCGAGACACCAAAGCAGATACTTACAGCTACATCTTCAAGAACATGATGAAGGTTGGAGCCTGACCTCCCTTCCTTGTTAATAAGATTTCCCCCTCCCCCATCCCCTCTGCCTCTGCCTCTGCCTGTGGCTATCCGGGTCAGCGTGTCTACTGGGGAAAGGTAGCGTTCTTGCTTAAGGTAGGTATTCCGCTTCAAGAATCACCACAGCACTGACCGAGAGGAAGCCTGCCACCAAAATTCACTTGTTCTTCGAAGAACAGAGCAGAGATGAGTAAGGAACCAGCCAGCATGCAGAACAGAAAGTAATTTACAATCCATTCCTGTGGGGCCAGTTACCTACTCAAATGCACATTCAGTAAACCATCTTCCAGGGGTTCCCAAGTGCACATCTGGCTTAAAACAAAGGAGATTCGCGGGTGCGTAAGTTGTCACATAACAGGAAGCTAGATAGTTGAACTGATTGGATGTCTGCACCTGGAGTTACGTCGGAGAGGCAGTTCAGCAAGCCTCCCTCACCGAGCAAGGTTGTCTCCGGCATGGTGTTGGAAAACCCCAGGGCATTTGTCTTGTAAGACACGGGCATCTGCAAGAAGGAGAGCCGACGCTGACCTTCACGGCTGCAGCGGTGGGGTGTCTCCAGTATTTCATGGGCTTGATGCCATATGCGGGACACAGTCTAGACCAGCGGTCTCAGACTCAACTTACCTGGGGGCCGCCGGGTCACATCAAGTCTTCCACCACCGCGGTGGTGGTGGGCTGCTCATCCCGCGGCCGGCCCAGGTGCCGCCGGCACTTTGAAGGCCGCAGGGCCCCTCCCCGTCCCGGCAATTGGCCCGCGGGCCGCGCGTTCGAGACCCCTGGTCTAGACCTCTCATCGTGGACGAGCAACATGATGGTGGGCTGAGCTTCTGGTGGTTGTTATCCTCTTGTGATGGCCTGGCTGCTTCCCGATGCAGTTTGGCTTGGCAGTGGCTTTCCCCAGGTTGGCTTGAGAAAGGTTGAACTGCCCATCACCCGGGGAAACTGAGGCCCCACGTGGCTTTAAGTACTCCGTCCAGGTGCCTCTTATCCAGTTCAGTCCTGCATTGCATTCAGACAGGACAAACAGAGCTAACATGCATCTCCCAGTGAAGGGGATAGGTACCTCTATTTTCTAACCTTTCTTAGGTTAGAAATTTGTACCTCTTGGACTCCTTTCTCATAGCCAACTTGTATTTTTTTTCCTCACCCTCCTTTATTGATCAATTAAAAAATTCTGTTTTGCTACCCTTTTCTCTGCCACTTGCCTGCAATTCCCTCCATGGCCCCTGGTGAAGAAAACTATTTCAAATTCTGGAAAGAAAAGGGAAACTATGATTTGCTCCTGAGGAACCCTGTCCTGGACATTCAGGAAAGGAGCACCTGTTCTCCAGCAGCAACATATGCGATCGCCGGATGAGTCCCGGCTACATTTCTCAAATTGTCAAGCACCTTTCATTCCATCCTTTGTCCTATTTATGCAAATCTGTTCATATACATTTGCCTAAAGTTTCACTCTTGAAAATGTACCAATCCCCCCGAAATGCACATTTTAGTCTGTGGGGGAAATGCATGCTTTCGATTGGTCGTATTTTGCATTGTTCATATTTTTCCTACAACTAATGCTTTGCAAAATTACAGAAAATAGCAATTGGTCTGCAAGTCCATGGGATCTGTGCAACTTGGGAAACGATGGTCTGCTACAGAATCCCTGGGTTAGATTTTGAGAAATCAGAATTCGTTTGAGCCCTGTTGTAAATGTTTCTGAGATTCCAACTCTCCCATCTTTTGGGGCAAGGTGCTTGCGTGGACGGCGATGCTCCCAGCTCCAGGGGCTGTTGGGTGTTCTGGCCAGCTTAAGGCCATGGGTTCACTCAACATTCTCTCAGTGACATGAGCCTGTAATTCCTGCCTTCTGAAATATTCGGAAGATGTGTCCATTGACTTTCAACCCTGTCCTTTGATGGCGCAGCTGTCAAATATTGACGTGAACGACCTGGTGGAAGGAGATGACCGGGCATTTGAGATTTGGCATGAGCGAGAAGACTCAGTCCGCAAGTACCTCTTCCAAGCCAGGACCATCATCATCAAGAACTCTTGGGTGAAGGAGATCTGCGGTATTCAGCAACGCATCAGCCTCCCTGTCTGGGGTGAGTAACGCAGAGGGAAAAGGCAGAACCTCTCGCTGCTCTGCATCTTTGCTCTATAGTGACTCTTGGCATTTCTGTTCCTGGATTTCCTGTAATTCAGCCAAGAGCACTGATTAATCCTCCTTAACTGCAGACCCACCCGACTTCGAGGAGGAGCTGGCCGACTGTACAGCTGAGCTGGGCGAAACAGTCAAATTAGCCTGCCGAGTGACCGGCACACCCAAGCCGGGGGTTACCTGGTATAAAGGTACAGCCAACCCTGGTTCAGCATTTGGGGTTTCCTGGGATATTGATCAAAATCTGTCTCGAGTATTGGATGGTTTGACCATTCTGAGAACGTCCCAAAGGGGCCGAGACACCGCTTCCCCACCCTAAACACTGAAGAGTATTTCCTTTGCTTCTTCTTGAAGACGGCAAGCCAGTGGAGGTGGACCCCCACCACATCATCATCGAAGACCCTGATGGCTCCTGCACACTGATCCTGGACAACCTGACGGGTGTGGATTCGGGGCAATACATGTGCTTCGCGGCTAGTCCGGCCGGCAACGCCAGCACCCTGGGAAAGATCCTCGTTCAAGGTAAAAGTCTTGTGGGGCCCAAGAATGCACCACTCAATAAGCACCTGCAGCTCGGTGCACGTCTAAGCAGCACTCCAAGTCTTTATTATTATTATTATTATTATTATTATTATTATTATTATTATTATTATTATTACATTTCTATGCCGCCCCTTGCCGAAGCCTCGGGGCTGCTTACAACACAATAAAATACATTGAAATACAATAGCACATAATAAATTACCATTAAATACAAAAATACACTGAGTTACAAATATAAAATTAAAATTATCAGTATAAAATAAGTAAATAAAAATATAGGAGGAGAAAAGAGAAGGAAGAAGAAGTCTTAGCTGGGACATTCCACTGGGATTTTTAAATCGTTTTATTTTACCTCCCCACATCATGGAGGCTAGCAAAGTTTGTTTGGTGTGACATCCTGATCCCATACAATGCCTTAATTTTGGTAGCCGCCACATAATCCCGTCATCTGGGTGCTGTTTTTATATTGAAATAGATAAAAAAGTATTTATTTGTGCAACACAGCATTGGCTTGGAGAATCCATGTTCAGAGATCGTGCCATTAAATGCGCAGTTCTGGAGAGAGACAGAGAAGCGCCCTTGGCTTCCCGGATGTGTCTGTTGGCCCGCTATTGAAAAGAGGACTCTGGTTTAGATGCAGTTTAGGTGCAACCTGGCTGGACTTTTCTTAGCTCTTAATCCATACTTTCCCTATTCCCTGTGGTTATCCGTAAAGCATGTCACACACCTGAAAGGCCAGTAAATGGTGTGGCAGGCGAGGGATGGGGGAACTTCCAAGGATCTGGGAGCAGGATGTGCCCCAAAATGGTCAGAATGGTAGAAGGTTGCCGAAGAGTAAAAGCTGAGAAGTAGACGAAGGTAAAGGGGAGGCCATGTGTAAAGTCAGGGAGGAAAATGTGGATAAACGTAAGAGCAGATCTGTTTACACTAAGCAAATGTGTATTAAATGAGTGTGCCAGGTAATAAATGGGTGTGTGATCACAGTTCTCTTTTACACACAATCACACTTATCCACACACATCTCAGCCACACAAAGCTAGCACATCTTTCTGATTTGAGAGGATCCCGGAAAGCAAGGGACGTCCTGCGCATTGTTGGACTGTGCAGTGACAACTTGTAGAGAACTTAAGCTCTTGTGTTTGGGGTGGGGAATCCCTGTTTAATGAGGGTCATGACTTTGTCGGGAGCTGTTCTGTGAAGAGCAAACTACACCCAACTAGCTCCACCGTTAGTGGGGCTTTGGACGCCAATGACCCCTAACTGCTCGTGCCACAGGCTACAGGGCTCACAGGTTCATGGGGGAAAGTCTTCCCCGACTGCCCATGCCTTTTCGGTGCTCCGTCATGGAAGATTCCCTTCTCCGGAGTGTTTCCTTCTACCTCCCACAATTTTCTTCTGAGGCTTTGCGCTCACTGCTTGTCCAGAATTTTCTGCACAGCTCCACCAGTATCTTAATTATGGAAGCTTCCACCACAGGAAAGCGTTCCTCTCGCAGGCAGTGAGTGTTGGTCTTTTGTTACCTGGCACAGAGGTATTTCACAGGGCCTTTCATGGGAGTGCCCCAGGAAGAAGACCTCCTCCTGGAATGGCAGCTCTAGCTCTCCCCAGTTTCCTTGGTTCTTGAGCCTGAGCTGCTCCTTCGGGTGAGAACCAGCACAGCTCCGTGCAAGGCTGGCCTCCCACATTTCGCAGGCACATCCTCCTAGTGCCTGCCATTTTCTAGGACACCTCCTGGACTCCTCGTTCTGTGCTTCCATTGCCAAGCAGGAATTTGGGAAGACATCCACACAGCACTTCCAGAATGAAGGCACAACACCCAGTAGATGGTGTTGCTAGGGGTCACAGCTTCACAAATCCATACGGATGTAGATGTTTCCAATGTTCTGCAGTATTCTGAGCTGATTAAACCCAGAATCCACTGTGTTATCAAGCTGAGAGGTAGGAAATGGCTTCCCCTCCGACTTGCTCGGTGCAGGAGTTCCATGAATCAGATCCGTGATAGGACCAATCTTCGGTCTTCAGTCCCCTCTTAACTTAAGGCTATGATGAGGAACCCCTGCAAGCAGTGCCTACGTCCATGAACCATCTCCACTCATGTGGGTCTCCTTACCCCCGGCCCCCTTGATCGATACGATGGGAGAGTTTGGGGCACATGGGCCCATGAACCCCTCCTATGTCTCGCCTTCTCTGCAGCATCATTGGCTAGAGAAATGGAATTCCATTTTTTTATTTAGTCAATATTTTACTATGTAATTGAATTTTATTGTTTGTATTTTATTAATTACAGCCAGCGTGGAATAGTCAATCTATTTTATTCTGATTTATGTTGTAAGCTGTCCAGAGACGCAAGTAATGGACAGCATACAAATTTTATAAAGAAAGAAAGAAAGAAAGTTCTCTTAGCTTTGGGGAACTGCGCTTGAACAGCCTGTTTTCACCTTTTCATGCCACGAATATACAGACAGACAAAAAGGAAAGGTATCAAGGAGAGATGAAACCTGTGGCAAGTGACACGAGCTCCAGGCGGGGAAACCTGCCATCCTGCTGCTGATTTAGGGAAGGGAACAACAGCAGGAATGCTGCCGAGACTCCTTGGCGGCCAGCTAATCTGGTCCTGGGGCCACTTGGGTGGGGAGGTGGCTTGCCACAATAGTTGAGGTGCGGTTGCCCTTAAGAGGTGCCACCACCTGGGCTGGTATAGTCCAGACTTGATAAGGCAGATTGGGACAGCCCACCCATCTTCCTTCTTTTGTACCACCCTGCATGTGGTGACAAAGTTTGTCCACTGCCCACACGGGGTGGACTGGGGAGCACATCTGTCTGGACAAGGACTTAGGCACTGATACCTAGCTCCAGTTTATACCAGCCGTGTGTTTTCTGACCTCAGTATGTTTATTTTGTATTTCCAGTGCCTCCCCGGTTTGTGAACAAGCTTAAACATGCTTACTATGCAGATGGTGAAGATGCGCAGTTTACCTGCACCATTGAAGGGGCTCCTTATCCACAGATCAGGTAAGAGGAAGTCCGCCCCTCCTCCTCCTCCCCCAGAGCAGTTCTGCAATTTTGAGGTGGATGCTGGTTTGCATCCAAACCTCCTTCCTCTTCCTCTGCCCAACTGCCTGTTTCTGCTTAAGAAAGAGTTCCTTTCTTAAGAAAGAAAGAGTTTTGGGTGCTTTCAAGGATCTGTTGAAGAGTAAATAGACAGAACAGTGCTTTGAACAATTGAAAAATTGGACAGCCTGTCTGAAACAGGATGGGGGGCATAACAGAAAGGGGAACCAGCATTTAATGAGGAAATACAACTTATGGGGAAAACCAATGTATCCGGGGAGACAAAACCCATGCCAGATTCTTCCACAGTCTCTGCTTTTAAAAATACTTCCTGCTGTCTCAGCTGGTGCACTTGCAAAAGGAATTGCAATTCTGCAGCTCAAACAAGAAATTGCAACTCTCACGCCCAATTTGGGCAGTCTAATGAGGCATGCAAATTGGATTTCTAATTTGCCTGCTGTAATCGGGTACCAAACTCTGGTGTGTGGACAATGCCTACAATATTTTAATTTTTCCTGCTGGTACTATGGTAACGAACCAATCAAGCAAACTACTGAGTTGAATCACTGGCACAAAGGCATGGGTTAAATTTGTCTCTCCGCATTTGCTTCTCTGCCCTTTGGTGATAAGCCAGTCCCAGTTCAACCCAAAGAAAGGACTTCAATCACTTGGCATGCTTTCTGGGGTTCTGTCTTTTCCTGCAATGTCTCACTATGTTGTGCATTTCTTTTATTATATTATAATAAGTTTTATTTAAAATTATAATCCTAAAAACAAAGAAAAACTAAAAGCAACATCAATCATCAAAAACATTGGGCCTGCTGGGTCAGCCCCCACATTTTTCTTCTATTTATGATAACTTAAAAACATATTTAAATCTATGCGAAGTCCCATTTCTCTAGCCAACAATAAAGAGTCCCAAGTTTGATAGAAGTCAGTATCTTCTTTCTCCTTCAGTGATAAAGTCAATCTATCCGTTTCCACACAGTCCAAGATCTTTTTTAGAATCAGTTCATCGGTGGGTAGTTCTTCACTTTTCCAGTGTTGAGCGAATGCAATCCTTGCTGCAGTGATTACATGTAAAATCAAATACATTTCTTGTTTACTAATGTCCACAGGTATAAAGCCTAATAAGAAGACTTCAGGTTTAAAAGCTAAAGGTTTTTGTGGTGCATTTCCCTCTTTCTCCCTCTAACAGGTGGTATAAGGATGGGAATTTGCTGACAGACCCCAATAAGCACCAGAGTTTTAGTGAACCAAGGAGTGGCGTTATCGTTCTGGTGGTCAAGAACGCCTGCAAGGATGACATCGGGTGCTACGAATGTGAGGTGAGCAGCCTGCCAGCTTCACCAAAGTTTCGCAACAACATCTCGGGGCGGAAATTCTCCTAGATGGCACAGATAAAATGTGTGGGGCTGCATTCCCATTCCCCTATGTATACTTTCTTGGCAGTAGCTCCATTGAATTCAGTGGGGTTTAGGGCCAACGTGGATGGAGTACTGGGAGATGCATGCTTGGATGTTGATTGTTTGCATTTTTGAAATGAAAAGTCTTCATCTGAGGGTGTGGGGGAGGGTCCTGGGCATGGTGACACCAGAAGGACATCGTTTTTAAACCAGCAGTTCCCACCCCTCTTTCCTGGTCCCGGTTAAAATGGAAACACACCCGGGCAATTTACCGCAAGGAGGTGAAATTGCAGCTTCAGAACCCTCATGTGAGTCTCCCAGAAGAGAATGGTTGACAGATCTCTCAATATTTTATCTCACCTGACCATTCCAAGTAAAGCTGCCTTGGGCTGCAAGACTGGGTACTCGTCCCCGTGGTGTGAGTTGCTGGCATGTGCCCTCAAGTTGTCTCTGACTTATGGTGAAGGTCCTCAGAATGTCCTGTCCTTTGCAGGCCTGCTCAGCTCTTGCAAGGTGTTAGACAAGGTTGCTTCTGGAGCTGGTATTTGCTTAGGGAAACTTTACATCAACCTCCCCGCTTGCATGGGAGTAGCTTCTTTTAGGGCTTGTTCATGCAGCCATCTTTAGTTGGCCAGAATATGAGAACAGAGTGAGTTGATCCTCTTCACTGTCACCTCCAGCTGTGAGCCAATATATTGTGGACTGACACACTGGGCAAACCCCAGCCTAATCCTTTAGGAAGGCTTGAGGACAGAGGCGCCTCGATTTTTGTAAGAGGCTGGCCCCCTCCAGAACTTCAGCCAAGGAAACCTACAGACCAGCAGCACTGTTCCCGTTTGTGCCCAGAGAAAGCATTGGCGCTTCCGTAGGCCTGTGACCTGCGCACAGAAATGGCTTTTGCTCTTCACCAGATGTTCCCATGAGTTCTAACCGGCACTGCACCCTTCTCTTTAGCTTGTGAACAGGTTAGGAATGGCCAGGAGTGGAGCTCAACTTTACCACCAGAGCGCAGGAGCCATGGCTCAGGAGAAGAGACAAGATCAAGCCATTACCATTGAAGGTATGGGTCATTATCACCTCTGTGAGTAGACCATTGATCTACCAATGCCATGAAGTTCTTTCCTTAAGGGTCGGAAGCATTTGCTATCTCATTTTGAAAGCAGTTGCATTCGTGTTAGCTGGTTACATTCATGTCTACATTTTCTTGATGGCCAAGCTCTTTCGATGGAGACTTTTATTGTGTTACGCTGTACCTACTTCACATGGGATCTTTAAGCTGGGACCTGGGGTGAGGAACAGATTTTGATGAATGCAGAAACCCAACTCTTTGGTGTATCTGCTCAGAAGTAGTGTGCAGTGAGTCATCAGCTGACCAATATGATTCACCAATAGCATTCATATTCATGGGATATGTATCATACAGATGTTGATCCAGTTGTGAGCTTTCCACCCCTCCAAAGGTAAAAGCAAAGTCTTTGGCTGCACTCAGCATCCCCCATCTTAGGAAATAAGGTATGCTTATAATGTTTCCAAAAATATTCTTCACCTGACACACAGTGTCCCTTGTGAGAATTTGGGCTCATTTTCCTCAATTCTCAGATCTGGAGTGAATTTTCACATAAGTTCCTTAGAGATTTATAAATTTATTATTTTATGATGGTTTTTATTCCACTGTTCAGAGAAATACTGAACAGAACACACACGTCACACTTATGTTCTTTATTTTCACGTAGGGGGGCAGAATCAGCCTCTGTTGATAGCTATATTTGAGTTAACAGCAGTTATTGAAAATTTGGGCCCAGCTGCAAATCCAATAATTCCAGCAGGAACTTTTTTAAACTGAAAGATGTATATTCTTGAAAAGCTTTTAAGCAATTGCTGTGTTTAGGCATCTAAAATGTTGAGTCTAAAGTACAGAACTAGCACAGTTACTGTATTTGGTGCCGTAGATGTCATGAAGTTTGAAAACTGTAGATGTTCTTTTGTTAGGAAGGAGCAAAACAAAATTGGTAGTGTTGAGTCTTTGAAGAACAGAGATTTAAACACTGATGGTGGAACAGAGGATAATCCGGCCTTGTATCTGTATAAGAAAATGTTTCATTTTACAGCCTGGAAGAGCAAGATATAGGCAACTGACCATAAGCTACAAAATTGCTGTGAAATGAAATAATAATAAATTCTGGTGGTGTATTAGTTAGTTCATTGATGACTTTAAACCAGTATTGTGGATAACATCTGGACTGCTCTTTGGTTTTTAAAAGAATTTTTAATAATTAAGTTAGTGAGTAATGAGCAGCCCATTCTGTGCCTTCACCCCAACATGATCCCTGTCCAGTCACTTGGTCACCTCTGAGAAGGTCTGAAGAGGCACTTTGTTGACCAGCCCACAAACCCGGAGGATGCTTAAGGGATCAAGTATGTTCCTTCAGAGTGCGGTTATTATTGGAAGACCTGTTCATGTCGTAGCTCAGTCCTGTTTGATGTGGTGGTGGGTGGATCTTGTTCTTTCTAAAGGAGAGAGGGTCTAACCCACATGTCCCACTCAGTGAGAAAGAGAATTCAACAGTCTCATTGAGCAGTGCTTTTTTTGTAAAAAAAAAAAAGGTGCCGGAACTCACGTCGCCGCTGGCAGTAAGCACTCAGCGCACGACCACACACACCGATCCCAAGCCGAGCAGCTTCCCAAGTACTATCTCACTATCAGATGGCAGAGAGCAGACTCAGAAGCAGCCTCCCTATGTTAATGATGTTTGCTGCTGATCTGCTACGCCCAACAGGCGATTCAAAATCACTTCGTAAAATCCATTGGGAAAAAGGGTGCCGGAATGCCGTTCCGGTGCGTCCTATGACCAAAAAAGCCCTGCCGTTGAGATTTGAGAAGAACCCGTCTGCCAACCGGCCGGGAATAGAAATCACGCGCACAAAGAGAGGGAAAGCGCTGGCTTCATCCTTCCGCCTGTCATTTCTCTCTCTTCTTTGTGGTTAATGTTGTCTAGGAATTGGAAAAGAAAGAAAAGAAACAGTCAATTGGTCACTCTGTGCGTGTGTGTGCGTGTGTGTGTGAAAGAGAGAGAGAGAATGAGAGAGAGCGTTTGTGGCCTTCGGCCCAGTTTTCTCTGTCTCTTGGTGGGGAAATCTTCAGAATTTCCAAAGGGCTTTAAGAATTTCTCTCCTGGGGCTGATCTTGCATGGGAATTGCATAGGTAGAGCTGCCTTTTCGTCTTCATTCACTCCAAGTTCTTTCCCATTTCGACTGCGCTTTACTTGAATTTTCTGGAGTGCCCTTCAGAGTGGAATAAAAAAAACCCAAACATGCCCTTGCGTTCTCTGATATCCCTCGCGCTTTTGCTACCATTTCTGGACATGGATCTGCCAGGGTCTCCAGTGCGTAAGCGAGGAAGTCCAGGGTGTGAAGCCTGATGGGATGCACGATCATTATTCTGTGCTTAGACTTTGGCTAAGAAGAGAATGGAAGTGGGCAACACCAGCACTTGTGAATGGCAGATATGATGAAGCATTTATTTATTTGATTTATACCCTGCCTTTTTCCTACAAAGGGCTCAAGGCAGCTTACATCTCCTCCTCCATCTTATCCCCACAACAACAACCCTGTGAGGCAGGTTGGGCTGAGAGTCTGTGACTGGCCCAAAGTCACCCAGCTGGCTCCATGGCCGAGTGGGGACTCGAACCCAGATCAGCTGAGTCCCAGTCCCATGCTCTTAACCACTACACCACACTGTCTGTCATAGCTCAGGGTCGTACTAAGTGGGATGTTTGTCGGGATGGATGAGCAGGTGATCTTCTGCATCACCAGGCCTCTCCAAACATCACCCCAGTGTACGTCTTGTGCCAGATGGCTTTCCTATTTTGGGTCTCTATCAGCTCTGAGTACAGCAGAAAAGAATGCAAATGGAGCTACAACATAATCTGAAACGAAATGGCACTGTTCTCCTCCCTAGGCTAAATCAGACTTATTTAATCTATGGCGGAAATCTGCACAACTTGGGAAAGTTGCACCAATAGCAAGCGAGCTCACATTCGGCAATTTGTAAATATCTTTTGTGGATAAACGCAACCATGTTTGGGGCCTCGAATGGACACACTCAGGCATTCCGCAGGCCAAAGGAAAATGTCCATACCGACCGGGCATGTGCTTATTTAAACAAGTTTGCTTAACTCGGCTCTTTCTCTTCTGGAAACACCTGGAGCGGCATTCCCAGTGCAGATCCGCATCCTGAAGAGGCTTCTGCTGGAAATGGCGCCCTGTGTGAACTTTGCTTTGCCTACACATGTGCTTTTGGAGTGTGCATCAGTTTCAGGGGGCATAAGACAGTCAGGCGGGAGCGATTTGCAGCAGAAAACGAGTGTGGTGCCCTGCTCTGGGCTGGGTGAACGCTTTGTGCCAGGGGCCTATGTCTGCGTCCTTCCACTCAAAATATAAACGCCCAGGTTAAGCACATTTATTTAAGGATCTGTCCAACGTCATTTGAGTCCGGCCCTGGATTGCACCACTGGGGGTAGGCATGCTCAGGGAGCTTTGGGGATTGAGGGTAGTTCTGCAGGGGATGTGGCACCTGGGATACCTCTGGCTCCTTGCAGAAACGGCAGCATGCAAGTCCCTTCCTGTGCTCAGGAAGCCTGGTCTCCCATGATGCTCCATCCGTTGCATGTGGTCTGCATAGCGCACGGTTGTCTTCGACTCAGAACCTGCAGGTCTGCCCTGCACGGCTGAAGGTCCAGTTGGAACAAGCTGAGAACAGGTTGGAGTGACAGGTTTTGAGTGGTCAGGAATGACGGCCTGTCATGTTCTTGCTGTGAGGAGCTTTATTCTTGTCTCGTTGGACTTCTGCTAAGACTCAGCTTAATAGCTCTACATGGGCTCTTATTAAGCTTACTAGCAAATGGAGCTTGGATAGTGTGTGTTGGTGAGACTAGGCGTGTGGTTAATTTATTTCCGTGCGGTCAATTTAGGGTGTATTTGGGTTTAGCGCATTGAAGAACCCCAGATTCTAAGTGCACTGAATAATTCTCGATGTGCAGAGTTTGCATTTTTGGTTGCAACTCCTGTTATTGATGTGCTGCCTTTAATAACTCTGTGTGTGCGTGCGTGCGTGCGTGCACACACACACACACACACACACACACACACAGAGAAAGAGAGGCATAATGAACTAATAGCGTTTCCATTGGTTAAGATGTTTAAATGTGATTTTGGAGTGTGATCATTTTAGTGGTGTTTGGCTTCCTGTTGCTCTCTTGTGCGTACTGTCATTCATCTCAGAGAAAATGGATTTAAAGATTGTTTCCTAAAAGCATAATTGGGTTCCATTTCAGCTACAATTGTTAAATTATAATACTGACTCTAAAATATAGTTATTCATCCCATAAATACCTTTAAGAAAACGTGTTCTCTCCATCAAATGAGAGCCGAAAACCGAACCAGATTAAACGTTTCTTTGTCAGCTTGCCACACGAGAAATCAATAAATCCTCTGATTGTCTTGGCATAACACATTGGATGAATGTATAATGAAAATAACATTTTGCTTCTTTAGGAGATCGACAAGGTATATAATAAAGTCTCTTTGGAAATGACCTTCTGCGAAACACAGAGTGCTGAGAGTTTTATTTGTCTTCATGCGCTTCTCTTGAATCACTGCACATTGTACGGCTTCGGTGGCTTAACATGTTAACAAGGAGACCTGCAGCGTAGATACAGTGCCACACCTTCACACGTAACAGCTTTTAACCTGCCAGAATACTCTGCTTTGCAAAGCTAAATGTCGCTAAAATACCACAAGCAAAGTTTTCGAAGGTGGTTCTGAAATTTGTAAAAGAAAAGGAGGGTTTCTTTACACGGATTTCATATCATTCATTCAGTTAATAGAATTGCGCTCCTACGGTGTCTACGGCCGTATGCCAAGTCTCTCTTAATTCTGTTTTAATTCTCTTTCTCTCTTAATTCTACCAATCCAACTAAAGTAGACCTGATTGCACCTCCAGATTAAGGTATACTTGATGACAGTTGCTAACCAAAATTGTCCGATGGACAATCAAGGAACACATTTACGCTCACCAACCATTTGCCATCTTGCGGTACATTGCTGGCTTCACAACCTTGAACCCTAACCCAAGTATGCATATTTCAGGTAATTCCTGGAGCTGCTCTCTAACCTGCGAAAGTTTGCTTAAAGGTGCTTGTGAAGCTGCTTCTCATGCTATGGTTTTCAAAGCAAACAGCAATTCCTAGCAGACACTCCGATGTTCATAAAGGGCTGAAAGCACCGTATAACACGGCTCTTCAGTAGATCTGTGACTTCCCAGCACTTCGAAGTTCACAGACTAATAGAAGCCACCATTTTAATAAGATCCTTTGTGGGCATAGGCGTAGGCCTGAAGTAACATGAGAAAAACCTCCAGCAGGTTATGTAAAACATAATATTAAGAAACATATAGCCATTTCCCACAGAGCTTACTAACTCATTAAATCCTGAAATGCGATGTTTTGCTTCGCTTAATTCCTGCTTTAAAACATTGTACATTTTCTGCTGTATATAAATGGCCAAGGTATAAGGTCTAGATTAGTTACTAGTGCTCATTTAAATTTTTTAAAAAACCATTCCATTTCAAACATTTTTCTACTGCCTTTCACCTAGAATGACTCCAGAATGGTTCTGGTTTTGAGACAGTTTTTAAAAAATACTTTCAGAGCTGTTGATTTTATTTTAACCTGCAAATAGAAAGATTATAATGTGCATATAGGAAATTATGTATAACTTTGCCTGAACAGAGACAGTATTTTGGGGGTCTGATCCCGCCCCCAATACTCACCTGCTCTTATTTTCTTATGGATCCCCCCACCCTATTTTTACAAAATCTTATTTACCTGTGAGTTATGCTTCTCTGGAGACAAGCTATGGTCTTATTCAGGTGTAAATGATCTGAAGGCCTTGCCCTTCATATGTTGTTCAAATAACCCTCATGTTTTTAGCTGCTCAGTTTCCCTTTCTCCCTTTCCAAATAAGCTCCTGCTCTAGTCCAAACTATGAAAAAAATATATGACGTGATGGAGGAGAGAACCAAATTATTTTTACCTGGGCATCTTCTGAAGGCACATAATCCAGCAGTTTTGCTTGCTGAAATTCTGCAGGCTGGGCATCTGCGTAGGAGTTCCTTCAGGCGATCCTGAATTACGAGGGTACATACCCTCGCTAGGTCAATAGTCACCACGATGACTCACAGCCCCTAACGCATATTGGCAAAGTATCTTTACGCTGCGATCCACAAATCAGTTAAGGCCCTCTCCCTTGCAATTAATTAAGGGTGCAACCCTATGCATGGTTAGACACATTCTGTCTAAAGGTGAGTAAGGCTATGCCTTACTTCCCAGGGGAACAACTCAGCCTCAAGTCTTTCCTAAGATCAAAGCTTGGCCCTTTGCCCGGCTTCCAGCCCAGTTGCCCCCAGTGGCTTGTCCAGAGGCACATTATTACTGGGAAGATGGAATCCACTTGCGTGGGTGGGGATGGATGCCTGGGAAACAGGAATGGGCCCTTCCATTTCTGTGCACTGCTTCAAGACTTGATAGACCATGTGGCTGGGGTTGAGCACATGGCCCTCATCAATTGGCATGCCCCTGTCCGACCATTAATACTCAGGAGACTGGCCCGGTCCTTCCGAACCAAATTCGGCCACCTTAAATGATTTGTGGATCGGATTGTCTAAAATTCCCAATATTGACCAGCGAGTCTTAGAAATAATGTTTGAAATAACCACAGAAAACAGTGATGGGATGGCGTTATGTGTTTAGTTTCTTCATCTTAATTCTTTCCGATCAAGGTTGTCTCTTGATTTGCTTAACAAAGTTAATGTGATCGTTTCAGCTTTTGCCTTTGGTTAACCCCATGCTGTTCATACTGTTTTCTTTGTAGTCACTGAGCAGGAGACTAAAGTACCCAAGAAAACCATCATCATGTAAGTGCTGTTATTATTTTTTAACCTTCGTGCAGTGCTGTGCTTCTGCATGTCCCATTAACCAGCCTGCGTTGATTGGCCATGCAGGTGTGTGCCTTCCCATCCCATCCCATCCGATCTTGTGGCATTGTTGTGTTAGGAGAGGCGGCGGCAATAGGTTGGTGACGATGAGCAAACCTGGAGCCATCCTGCAGTGCTGGCGCTTGGACATAGTTCGACTCCCGTTTGGGGTCTTCCCTCAATTCAGCCTAATGGAAGAGAGCAGGCCAACCCAGTAGCAATAACAAGAACCGACCTCCGCACACCACGGCTTCAAAAGATGCGCTAAGGCATACTAACATGGCTTTTAACTTGCAATCTTTTCTTCCTCTTATTTTTTCCATGGCAACATTTACCAAGAGAGGGTTTGGTGAAGGAGTCGGCTCTGGCAACGTAATTTGGTTTGCATTCTTGGTGCATCGTTGCTTCAAGCGGCTACCGCGCTGAGTTGGAGCCAGAACGGAGGGTCGCATGAAGGAGTCTGGGTGGACTAAAAAGGGTTCCTGGGTCACTTCTGCCATGGATCTTTTCCACGCTTTTGCCCCAGGCAGTCAACTGCTTAAGCACGAATGTTTTTTAAAAAGTTTCCTCTCGGTGACATGAAACCAGTCAAATGAATATTCTCTAGCCATTGTCAAGCATATTCTTCTGCCCCGCTTTCCAAGCAGACAAGGAGAAAGCCTTTCTAATGAAAAGGTTTTATTACATTAAAGCTGACCTTTGTAATACAGAAAAGACCATTGCAGGAAAGAAAGGGCAGGGCTATAATCCTGGCCGTAAGGGGAATGCCGCTTAATGGTAAGCAGTCGGTTGCAATGCTTCCTCTCCAACCTGCAAAGAGCGACCCCTTGTGACCTGATGCTGGAACCTCGGATTAATAACATCAGGTCCACTTGAGGATGCTCACTAACCTTCCCACAGTGTCTGAAACTGCCTGATCCTTGGAGACTGCTTGGCTTATCCCTGAGTCTCCTGGGCTTGGCACCTCAGCTGTGGACTCCGGCCCCTCCTTTCCATGTGAGCCAGATCCTGTACACACAGTCCTTGAAGACTCTCTTAAGGGAGGAGTGGGATAAATCCCCGAGACGTCACAGCATCGCACATCTGATCGGGCTGCATTCGAGCGCCACGGAAGCCAAACAAAGCCCTCCCCGTCGTCCTCATTCCAAACGGAAGGCCGAGGCAGAACTCAGTGGCTGAGCGGAAGTGCCCATTGCACTCTGCACCGGCACCACGGCAGGGCGGGCAGAGCTGGCGTGTCCCCCCGGACCCCACGATCAGCGAAAAGGAAGGCACAGACATGGAGGCCATGTGCTAAGCACGCTTCAGTGCCACCGGAGCGTTTCTCTTTCGGAAGAAGTCCTGTGGCCACCGAGGCCTTTCTTTTGAATGATTCTAGAACGCTGCTGACACAGCAAGGCCAGGCCTGGGCATGCTGGCCGGCATTTCCTCACTGAGATGCTATTTTACACAAAGACAGAGTTTGCACGTACAGCAGCACTGCGCCCACAACCTGCCTCCTTTTGGTCTGGAGCTGAAAGCCAGCACCACCCAAACGCCCTGGAATGTGAACTGGCCACAGGCTTTCCCAGGGAGCAAGAGCTAAATGACGAGAGGGGCAAACGGCTACAACGCCGAGTGTTTGCTCAGGGAAGCTCTGCTGCCCAAGCTCACGGGAGGACCAGGTGGGCTCTGGTGTGCAGAAGAAGGGAGAGATACTGCCTATTACACCCAAGGACAGAACAAGTCCCAAGGACAGCTCAGGAGTCTGATTATCTGATTAGGGTGGGGGAAACAAAAGATCAGAGCCTGAAGGGATTCGGGGTGCCTCTTCAAGGACAGGTTTCCCTCCTGCTGCCAGACTCTTTGCCAAAGAATGCCACTTGTGGTTGCGCAGATGGGGCCGGGGTCCTGCTTAGTTCTCAGTCATTCTTACTGGGATCTGTAGACTGGGCCTCCGTCCACATACGTACCTCCAACCATGTATGATCAGGAAAAGCATTCTGTAGGAATGAATGCAGGTAATTCACTTGTGCCTTTGGTGTCATAGCTGTAAGCAAAGGGCAACCAGCCTCCTTTCATGTACCAATGGTAAATGTTGCCAGTAGATCAGAGTTAATGACCAAATGTTTCTCTTGATTGGGAATAAAAGAGGAAGAAAAGCCACTGGCTTCTGGGAAGTACCACAATGCCATTCGATGGTAAAAAAAAAAATGTGCACATTGGTTGCAGTCGGGCCATCAGATCTTGTAGGATTTGCCTTTAGACAAAAATGTCAGATTTTAAATGATGGAACCAATCCTAAAAGCCAATTCTGGCACCAACCTTCAGAATTCGAAATGACATGGAGATTTCCTGAATGTTTAACTCTATTTTTTTATCTACTCTTTAACTAAGAAACCTTGTAACTTTGGAAACGGGCAGGCAAACTCAACGTGGGAATAGGCTCCCATGAAATGAGATGAAGGTGAGATGGTTTTGAAGCTGGTGGTGGAAGGAACGTTTCTAGAGCGTGATCTTCTTCACCATCAAGCACAAAGATATTCCAGAGGAAATACCAGTATCTTAAAACAATCAGTTTCTAGCAGGCATTATTTAAGCCCCTCCCTCACTCCTTCGCTGGCTTTTCGTTCTTGCTGCTTACAGAGTTTCAGGGAGCCCTTCGTGCTACCCTGCTTGCACATGACTTGCAATGTTGCTAAATGTGGTAAGTAATTACTGCTCACAGTATGTAGCACAATTAAGGACAGATCAATAGAACTCAAGCCACATTTTGCTTTCCATTGCAATGCTGTATCAGCAAACATAGTTTTAACTGAAGCACATCACTGCCAGTAATTTATTAAATGCTCTAGTGCATAAAAGAAGGGTTATCCTAATGGGCCACCCGCAGTTTTCTGAGTCGGAGCCAGATGTCCTCAGATGGCCTGTCCATGTAAGAAATAAATGCCACGTGGTTGGCATGAGAGCCGAAAAAAGTGCTTTCTTGCATATGCCGTCCTATAGCAAGAGATTCTCAGGGCAGCTCTCATAATACAAGGCTCCCAAAACAAGCAGTGTAAAATATCTAGTATTGTCAGGCTCTCAGAATTTGGAAGTCATTGCTGCTCTATAGGATAGTCAGCTAAAATCAGTCTTTGGAGTAGAAACATAGAAACAGAGCGAGTCAGAAGGGGTCTCCGGGGCCATCTAGTCTGACCCCCGGCACCAGCCGGCTCCACTCATGACATGCCCGCCATGTGCATGTCCAGCCTATCCTTGAACACCCACACCGATGGGGCCTCAACCACCTCCCGGGGAAGCTCCTTCCACACCCTCGGGGTCCTAACTGTCAGGAAGTTCTTCCTGGCATCCAAATGGAACCTGGGTTCCTATTGTTCCTTAGAGTAGTCCAAACCTGCCTGCTCAGGAAAGCCTGATAGTCCACAGAAACGCTGAAGGGTTCTGGTTAGTTCCTTTCTGACTGTGAGATGGATATGCCAAGCCACGCTGACGCATGCCGCTCCAACCACGAGCATTCTCACATGACTGAAATGCCCCCGAAACTAACCCGCTGTCGCTGCCCCACTGCTTTGCTCCTGGCATGTCACATCGTGTGCATCCCCAAAGGCCGGGAAGGGCGGAAGGGCAAGGAGTCCTTTTCTTCATACGAAAATGCGGCTTCTAAAATTTCCACCATCAGAGAGGAGACAATCACAACGGTGGTGAAGGCGCCGAGGGTGAAGCGGCGAGCGTCTCCCGCACGCCCGTCTTCAGGCTATTCTCCTTCTCGCTCTCCGAGATCAGAGCTGTCAACACCTGAACTGGTTTACGGGAGCAAGATCAGGCCGTCCGTGCACAGGCAGGACCTGGAGGCCATGCAGAAAGCGGCCATTCCCACCCATTTCGTGACGGAGCCCGTCGAAAAGCTGGGAGGAGCTGTTAGAGGGATTGCTGTCGAAAGCCCTCTGGAGGAGCAGGCACACAAATGGGTTGAAGTGGAGGAAATAATTGAATTCAATGTGAAGGCACCTGCCCAAGCAGCAAGGAAAAGAGGGGCTTCTCCTGCGAGATCAGAGAAAGATGAATTCGCATCCAGTTATACTCCCCCTGGCGCAAGACCCAGGCCTTCCCGTGAAGATGACCCAAACACCAATAACTCGAACAATAAGCTAGTGGAGCAAACTCAGTCTTCTGGGTCCCCGGATGTTGAACTCTCTGGAGCTGACTTCAAAGGAACACCAACCAGCCAGGAAAGGGAACATTCTTGTGATAGGTTGGAAGGCAAGAGCTGCCCTGAAGAAACTGAGATTCGGGTGGAATTGCCTCCATCTGCCGTTGCGGATGAGCCTTCTGAGTTGACCGCAGCAAGCCAGGGGGACTGCTTGCCCAGAGACCACGAGGTTAAAGATCCCGCTGTTGTGTTTGACACAACATGGACTGCTGGAGACGGATGCTCGGGCACTGCACAAGATGAAGAATTTCCTGAGGAAAACATTATAGTTGATGAGCCAGAAGAGGGAGGGTTGGATGACCTCTGCCACCGAGACCTCAAAATCCTTACCCGTAATGGGAAAGCCCTGACTCTGGAGGACCTCGAAGATTACGTCCCCAAAGAAGGGGAAACGTACAGATGTGGCACTACTAACTCTGCAGATGACAAGCCTTGTGAAATAGCCGTGCTCCAGACTGAAATTAACAAGCCAACTATTGGAAAGCCCCTCCTATGGAACGTGGGCAGGCCCGTGCCTGCCAGGCCGGCCCCAACCTTCTTTAGCAGCTTTGAAGGCCCCCGCCCAGGAAGCGTCTTTGTCTCAGCATCCAGGGTGACAGGCGTGCAGTCGAGGGGCCCGTCGAGCGTGTCCTTCCACGTCGCCGAGTCGTGCACAGCCGCAACGGCAACCCCCGGCACGTTGGCGGGATCCCCATTCAGGCTGACGCCGTCCTTCTGCACTGAGGTTCAGCTCTCCACGGACAATGGACAATCCAATTTTAAGACAGAAGTTTCCAGAAGAACCCACAGCTACGGCACTGTCGGGGAACCTGTGACCTTGTGCATCAAGAAGGAAGATGCTTCCCAGAGCTGAGCAGACATCAGCTCTGCTTTTCTAGTTGCGACACACTTTACGACATAACAGTCAAAGAAGAGGAGGCATGAAGGTAAAAGAAGGAAACAACTAGGGAAGGAATGGAATCACAAACAGATGTTTTTTCAGTGATGTAACAATGGATGATTTTTCAGCCCCGAAGAAGGAAATTGCTGAAGTGCATAGGCTAATAATAGAGCTTTTTTCGTTGGTGCTCAAGACTTTTCAGCATTTGTTCCCTCTTTGCTTCCTTCTTTAGCCCAAACGATCGCCATCCTATACAACACCAAGGAACCTGGGGGAGGGGGGAATGTGATGGGACTCAAAGACGAGCATGAAAGAAAACTATCTCAACAAACATACTGTACGTTCAAGTTACACATAGAGCTTTTCCAGTCTTAAAGGGAACATTTCTGTCAGTTCAGTATGTATAATGTAACCTTTGATTTGTGATTTTTAAAAAGCACACCATTCCGCTGCAAGCAACGAAGCTCAGATTGTGTGGGCCAAGGGCAGTGTTAGTGATGAAATCTAAAGAAATGACATTTTTATTTTCAGTTGTACATTGGGCTGGTAAATATCTTATGGAAAGAAGATTATGCCATCACCATTTGGCAGTGCCAGCTAGCAGCTAAAAGGAGGAGGAATATTTTCATTTGAACATGTTTCAAATTGCTCTTGTATATGCCATAAAATGCTGCATAAAGTAGCTGAGCTGAAACTTTCAATAAACGACCGAATGGCCATACAAGGCTCCCAGTGAGCTTTAAGCACAAGCTCATCTGTCTGTGTGCCGAAGACAGATCAGTTGCATACATTTCAGGATGTACTAATTACATCCTAAGTCATTTGTGCCTTTGCCTTGTAGGTAAATGCTGACTGGAAAGCTACCCCAGCTTTTATTACATCCAGTGCTATTTTCACACCGACTTGGGAGGAGGCTGGATTGTAAACAATGCACTGTGTAATCCACAAGTCTGCTGTTACTGCCCTTGACGGAAGTGGTGCTAACTTCTGTGGATGCTAACTAAATGTGGATTGCACTTCGATGGTTACATTGTTCTTTCTCCAGTACTCCTGCATATTCTTCCTTTACTAGAATGACAATTATAATCAATCAATATATACTTCTCTTTTGACCAGTTCCTAAGGCAAATGCCAAAGAACCCAAGCACCACAAACTCCATTAGCGGTTAAATAATAAAAGAGCTCATAAACACAGCTTTCATGGTGATGGGGCAATTTGCCATTCACTAAAAGGACGGGCAACTTATTATCACAGGTAGTGTTATATGGAACTGAAATGTGTCAAATATCATAAATTAAATTACTCCTGAGTGAATAAAGAATAAACTCAGAATGAGGAGTTTAACTGCATCTACAGAAATTCCTTACTTATCAACGTGACTATGGATGCATTCAGATGCATTTAATCAGACTCATAATTGGGTGCCTAAAATTTTACCAGGTCAAAGTATTTGCAGTTTTACAACTGCTGCTATCAGTCTCACTAAATCTTCACCAGCTACTGTTTGTGCAAAGAGACTGCGTATGGTGGTCCATAACTTATGGATTCTATAAGATCTTGATGTGGTTCAGATAATCCCTTCTATTCTCATGAACTGCCTCAGTTAACTTCTGACAATCACAGCATTATTCAGCACTAATTCTCACAAGAAAAGCCTCTCGAAAGAGTGCTGTTGTGATTGCAACAACTCCTCCTGACTAAATTCCATGTGTAATTTGTTCTGGCTCTGTCGTTGCTCTCGTTATGATACGGACTTGGCCTCAGATATGTCAGCCTTGAAATGACAAACCTTGGCTGTATTCCAACAAGGACATGCCAAGGAAACCAGAGCAAATTTGTTGCAAGGGCTACTCAGGAGCAAGCACCTTTATTCTTGACATGTTATGGAGGCCATGCCACTCCCAGTGGGCAAGTGGAGGGGGAGGGAAATGCACCCCTGTTTAAAAGGGGGGAAATACTGTTCCATTGATTTCTCTTCACACAGTACGTAAACAGATGTGGAGTTACAATGCATTAAGATCTCTCATCTGCAGAATTAGAATAAACGAAGCCCAGGAACCCAACTTATCCTTAAATGGTTGCACTGGAACAACCTTTCCAAAAGTGCTGCCTTCCAGAGGTGCCGGGTCCTGGAACAACTGTTCTTCGCCAGCATTTATGGAGGCACTAAAACATCACAGGAGAGACAAGCCTATTGTTGGAAGAGGTTAAACTAGCAAGAATCTTCCTGATGGATTCAGACTTGCTGAGCATTTTAAAGATTGCACATGGTTTTCTTTTTTATTGAGGAAGGAATACAATGTGTATCATGGCTTCTTGAGGTTTCTACTGCAGAAACCATTCAAAATGTTGCTCCTGGGGGTTCCTTCACCTTAAAAATAATGTGCATGAATTTCCATCTCTAGAATTATACTTGAACCTTGCAACTGGGTAGTGTTTTGGGGAAAATGTTTGTGCGCAACTTCCGTTTTAACTAGCATCTCACTGGCATGTCATTAAGTTACATGACTGTACATTATTGTCTATGGCACAGTGGCAGGGGTGGGATACCTTCCAGATGGTGTTGGATGGACTCCAGCTCCCATCAGTCCCAGGCATGTGGCCCCTGGCTGCTGGAAAATGTAGTCCAACAATATCTGTAGGGGTCCACGTTTCCCATCCTGCATCCTGCATTTTATTTTGGAAGTTGCAGACATCTCAAAAGATCAACATGCCTAACATCTCTCTGCTGATGCTCATTGGATTGTTCAGCCCAGATATTTTTTTAAAATTCAGATATATTTGTGGAAATCTCAAGTACTGTGATTAAGAAACAGCAGATACTGGCCTTTCATGATTTTATATGCAGAATTATTTGGCAGGTGTTATGTCTGTAAGAATGTGCAGAGATGACAGACTCTTGGTTTTATTTTGCTGAGTCGTTCTTTGCTAAACAAACAGTGATTTGTTACAATAAATAACTGCATTTCTCTTGATCAGCCATAACTCCCCATCTGTTTACTTTTTAAAAAACTACAACAGAAAAGCAATTCGGCGGAATGATGTGTGCTATACAGTAATTTTTAAAAATCTAGAGAAATTTTCCAAAGACGTTAGAGCCTCCGATACATTTAATTTTGAAGTATTTTCCTCAAGATTAAAAGTGCATTTGCTTGTACTTGATTTACAGTTTGTAGAGAATTAAGGAGGTGTGTGGGGATTGATAACCTCTAAAGGAAGAGGTGAATTGTATTTTTTTAAAAAATCTCCATACGGAAGAACCAAATCGACAGTGTGTTTCCAGTAGAAGGGAAGGGGTAGAAAAACGGGACACCCGATTGTCTCACTTGACCCAAACCTTGGATGCGATCTTAGTCAGAACACACTGTCAGATGCTCAGCTGCATATCAATAAAAGTTCAGGTGTCACAACGCTGGCTCTGTTTTGCGTCGTGCTTTCATGCGGTTTCTTTGCAGTGACTTTCCAGGGCTGGGTTGGATTTCTGGACTCTGCATCCAGCAGCAGCGCTTGCTATGCTGAAGGTAATCTTGGGGAGCCACGTAGCTCAAGCAGAGACGCTCACCTGCCGGATTCCCTGGGAAGATTTGGCATCTTTTATTGCGGTTTAATAGAAACAGAGCAAGTCAGAAGGGGCCTCCTGGGCCATCTAGTCTGACCCCCGGCTCCAGCCGGCTCCACTCACGACATGCCCACCATGTGGACGTCCAGCCTATCCTTGAACACCCACACCGATGGGGCCTCAACCACCTCCCGTGGAAGCCCATTCCACACCCTGGGGGTCCTGACTGTCGGAAAGTGCTTCCTGGCACCCAAATTGAACCTTGGCTCCCTGAGCTTTGCTCTGTTGGAGCACATCCTGCCTTCCTCTGCAGCGGAGAACAGGTCTGCCAGAGGGAATACGGCCTGCCTTTGTCTGCACACAGACGCAACACGTAGAAAAGCAAAGGAAGGTTATCCGTCAGAAAATACAAAGCAGGCCCAAGCTTTCAAACGGATGGTGTCCAAGCGGCAAATATTACTGCTCCATCCCAACCTTATTCTGAATTTGTAAGATCTGAAGAGCCTAATGCCTGATAGACTTACAGACAGAGAGGAGTTAACTAGAGAGGAAAATGAGAAAGGGGCCAGCACGCTTGTTTGGCAGAGTCGGCACTGAATGGCCGTCCCTTGCTTGGGCAGGGAGGGGTGCAACGGATCCGCATTGAAGGTTGGTTCCAAGCTTGCTCTCCCTCCGTTTTCTGAGCTCCTGGTTCCTGTACTCTTTCTCTCTGCGCTTGTCACTGTGGAAGTGGGGAAATGCTGGATGGGTGCTTAAGCGCTTTTGCGGGTGACTTTAGACGGAGGAAAGGAAGGGTAAAGGAGTCCCATAATAAAAATGATAGAATGATAGCAACATGCATCACTGTGTACATCCCATAATAGAAAACTCAAACCCACCATGCACTCTCCTGTATCTGCCCCCACCTAGCAGGTCAGACAGCAGCTTTTTGGCGGGTAATTTAATTTGGGATCAATAGCATGGAGGGAAGGTTAAAACACGCTCTCCCCAAAATATTGTCGCCCCTACATCTGTTCTAGGAGGTCTGATTATGGGGTGCCCATATAATGTTCGGCTTTCAAGAAGTGCTAGTTGTAGGCTCGGCATGGCAGGCCTTGTTTATGCCTCAGCTCGCTTAGGATTGCCCATCAGGGGCACCGTCTGTAGGGTCCAGGCAGGCACCTGTGGTTGGACTGCCAGGACCAGCGTGCGGGGCAGGGTGGGGCCCTGCAGCAGGTCTGGAGGGCCAGAGGCACATCCGTGTCACAGTCCGGGGTCAAAGCCGGAGAAGTGGCAGATGCAAGCCACGCAGTCCGAGAGCACGGTGCAAAGGTCAAGTTGCAGAGAGACAGTCGGCACGAGACAAGGACAGGCGCAGGGAGAGGCTGGAGCGAGGCCGGCACGCTCTGGGGTTCGGGCGAGGCGATGCAGGGAGCCCAGGCACGAGCGGGTCCCCAGCACAGCTCGTGCTGCCGTGGCCGAGAGCGGAAGTGCCGTGCCGCCTCTGAGCCCGTCTTCCGGGCCCTCCAGCCACACGGCATCACTGCCCCACAGCTGCTCCCTACGAGCGGTTTCTGCTTCTGCAGGCACTGCAGCGTCACTCTGGCCCCGATCGTGACGACATCTCATGGCTGGCAGATGTTGTTTGGCTCTCTCTAGGAAAGGCTGCGAGTTCAGAAAAGCCCCCCGGACTCTGCCCTCAGGGGGTCTGTCAGAGGTTCCAAAGAAGGAAAACCGTCTTTGAGTTCGGTATCCAGGGCATCCCAGGGGGTGAGAAAAAGAAGGGGAAGGCCTGCCAGCTCCTGCCACATCCCAGTGGTGCCTCGTCCCCTCCTCGTCGTGAGCGGGGGGAAATATTTAGAAGCGAAAACCAGCCCCCTAAGTGTTCTTGCGAAGCGCAGAGCCAGTCTCCTCCTCTGTGCTCAGCTGGATAATGTTCAAGGCTTTCTGAATTTGGAAGGCTGCCAGCAGCCGGATAAGATGGTGCTGTAAGTTGCTTTTATCAGCACGGTGACAGCAGCGCCGATAAAATATTTTCCACTCAGTTTGTTTTTCATTTAATGGAGCATAAATGATTTTCAGTTCAAACAAACATAGTTGATATCGACATTGAATTTATTCTTTGCTTAGAGAGCAAGCCACAGGTTCCGTGTCTCTGGATCATTCTGATGGACAAATAAATACCCCCCGCAGTTGTTGCTGTTATGTGCTGTCAGGTCGTCTCTGATGTATGGCAACTCCATGAACAAAAACCTTCAGAAAGCCCTGTCCAGGGCAGCCCTGCATAGATCTTCTAAATTCCAGGCTGTGAATTCTGGGATGGAGTCCAGCCATCTGTTGATTGATCCTCCCTTTTCCTTCTGCCTTAACTTTCCCTAGCAGGGTGATCGTCTCCAGGGAGTCTTGCAACTCGAGGGGCTAAAATTGTTGTCCTCCCATTTTGACTTCTTTTACTGTTACCTTCTGCTGGTTCTCTTTGCCCTCATCCTTCCCTCTCATGCTTTAAATCCTTCAGTAAAATGTGTGTGTCCATCAAGGGGACTTTGTGACATTTAATCACTTGGAGGTTGTTAGGTTATGGTATTCTACAAAATGTCAGCTTGTGGCTGCTTCTTTACACAAGAGCTGGATTAAACCTCTTGGGGTTGTTTGTTCATGCAACCCCCCCCCCCCCCCGATGGGTGATTTATTTGTGTCCCGGGTGACTTGCCCGTGTCCCCTTCTAAACTGGCACAATCTTGCCTCCCTGACCTGACCTGGAAATCAGTTTGGTAATTTTGTTATCAGTTTGATAATTTTGTTATTTTCCCAGCAATCTCTCCTCTTACTCCGTCAGCAAACGGTGAGCCTTGTTTTTCTCTCATTTATACCTGTACAAATTGCAGGTAACCCCAGAAGAGGATGGACAGTTTCCTCCATGATGAAATGGTCCATAGCAGGAAGCAGCACTCTAACTGGGGTCCCTCTTGTTCAGACCCTTCTTTTGAGCTGCCAGGTCTGCAGTCGCCCTGTCCCCTGCCAGGGACTGGTTACAAGGGCTGCTTTCAAGCCACCCGATTCATGAACAAATTGAGCAGCCTCTTGGGGTGCCCAGCAAGCCCCGGGCAGGACAGGTGTGACTCACGATCACCTGCACCATTACCGAGGATGCTGGATTGCATCTCGTGCTCCGAGACCTCCTCCCCTGTCAGGGGCCCTCATCACAGGAGGATGGGTTTAGGCCCAGCTCTGCCGCTAGGCAAAGGAAGGCAGATGTTCCTAGAAAGGTGTGGGGCAGATTTTCAGCCTTTCCAGTTTGGCGCACAAAGCCAAGCTCAAGAGATGCTGGCCCATCTCATGCTAATGTCTGAAGGGCAGGAAAATGTCACAAGCCAGCTCTGGATGGGGTACATTTCTCAGGCTGGGTGGCAGAACACCAAGAAGATGCTAAATCTGGGTCCAAATGTATAGTTACCGCCCGAGGCAGAGGACACACCTGAGCTGGTCCTCCAGCTCTTCAACTAGGACAGTCCCCTGACGAGACACATTTATTTATTTACAATATTTGTATCCCGTCCTACACAATCCAAACATCCCAGGATGGCTTACAATATAAATTAGCAATAAGTAAACATCAAAAAATACAGTAACAAAATGTGACTGAGAATATGGACAAAACCAAATTAAAATTATTGAAACCTTAAAATGTTGGGCAAATAAAAAAGTTTTAACTGGCTCCGAAAAGAATATAAAGTTGGCACCAGGCGAACCTCTCTGGGGAGCACATTCCTCAGTCGGGGTGCCACCACAGAGAAGGCCCTCTTCCAGGGGTTCACTCTCCTAACCTCCTTCTTTCATTCAACACATGAATGGCTAACTGAGAAACTGCCAGGGCAGCATCAGATCCACTTCTGAAAAAGGTTGAGGAAAAAAATGTCATAATTCACAGGCAGGCCTTTCAGTTCCACGTCTCCTCCTTCCCTTGGCCATTCTTGTGCCTGTCTTTGAGTTATCTAGGAGGCTTTCCCTTCTGTTAAAATATTGAGGCATATTTTTACAACAGCAATTTCTATTTAAAAAAGTGGAGCAGAAATGAATATAATCTTTCCAGTAATTCATACAATCCTAATCTTAGTCATTGCAGAAGTAAGACTCTGCTCGGCTCGCAGATCCACAACAAACGTCCAAAAGGAGACGCTATCGTGTCTGTGCTTTGTATTCCAAAGTATACAGGTTGCACTTCTAGCATCTCCCATTAAGAGGATTTCTTTCATCTGGGCCAGCAAAAAGCCCTTCCTGCCAAAGATCTTGAGAGCTACTTGCAGTCCTGAGCTAGGCAGACCACCACTCTGACTCACTTACTGGCTTCAGACAACATGATAACTCTCACTCAGATATTATTATTATTATTATTATTATTATTATTATTATTATTATTAAACATTTCTATGCCGCCCCTTGCCGAAACCTCGGGGCAGCTTACAACACAATAAAATACATTGAAATACAATAGAACATAATAAATTACCATTAAATACTAAAATACAAAAAATACAGATGTGGGTTATTGCTGGTAGTCGTTGAAATGTGGGTTGTCTGAACCCATCTGAAATAACAAACTTTGGTGAACAAACCACATCCCACAGTCCACGAGTTATTTATGATTAACAGCTGGCTTCTGACCACACAATAGCTCACATTTCAACAACAACAACCCATGTTCAACCCACATTCACTATCTGAGTGCGGACTATCGGCTTGTCTCAACCTGTAGGGTCTGTTCAGATGGCTATAAAGCTGCCGCAGGATTTCATGCCTGCACCACATCATGAACGAATGAGGCCTGCTGGATTCCGCCACAAGATGAGCTAAGAGCTGCCATGGACTTCTGGAGGGACTTCTGTTGGAGCTCTATGGATCCTGGCCCTCTTAGGATCATGGAGTTGCGGGATGCGCATGATCCTCACAGCGTTAGAGAGCATCCAACCCCTTTCCAGTGTGCCCTTCCATTGACTGCAGGGACCCTTTTGGCAAAGGGTCTCACCCGCATATTCCCTGCTGCGGGTCTTCCATGCCAGTTAGGCCACCGGCATTGGACAGGGCTGCTCTCGAGACGTTGGTTGACACTGGCACCGCTTACCCATCGCTCAATGTCCTGCCCGCAGCTTAAAGGTGGGGGTAGTAGAGCCCGTCGCCGCTGCGGTTGCCCGGTTTCTCTCTGTCTCACCCTGAACGCATGACCAAGCCACTTCTGTTTCCACTGCTAGCTGAACAGCAGGCGCCTCCTGGTAAAATTCCAGACAAAAGGGATGAGCTGCCTGGTCCGAGCGTTCCTCAGGAGGTCCAGGAGGAAGGGGTCCATGAACGCACCGTTCCCATTGCAAGGTAACTTCCTTACTGTTTGGAAACCGCTTGCTTGGAAGCCATGCCAGACCTGTGCAGGTCCTCCCTGAACAGCTTCGGGTTGCAAAAAGCAGCTCACACAGTTCATCAGCTGCCCATGGTGGAAATGCTGGCAGTTGCAAGCCCACACACCCGGAAGGCACTGGTTTGGGGATGCTGGGATCGCATCCGTGCCCACATCGAAATGTTCTGACCGTGGAAAGCTAGCTTGGCTAGGAAGAGGGTTCTGCATGTGTCCAGTTCAGGGAGAGAAACACACAGTCAGAGGGTACCAAGATGCTGAATCAGGGATGAACATGACTGCAAAGGAAGGGTTTGCGGGGTGAGAAATTCGAACCCCACTGAGGTCACCACCTTAGAATTGAAAGCCCTGGCAAATGTTCAGCGCAGCAAGAAGGGACGTGAGCTTAGTAGATCAAAGATCACATTCCACTGAAGGATGGACTTGAAAGAGGAAGAGCCAGCCGGCTGCCTGTTTTCATTCGCAGAAAATTAAATCAGTCCCTATATGAGAGGACTTGCCATCCATAATTTGCTCTACTGGGGTAATACCTAGATGACCCTTCCAGTGGCATTGGGAGAGGGGGAGAAATCAGTTTATATGGAGGGTGGCTTGAGCTCTGCCACTCACCTTGGTAAGTGACTTGACCAGCAGCCCGTGGATCCCTCAGCTTTCTGTTGCGTCTCATCCGTTCGGAGCACCTCGTGACCTTCTCTCTTGATTTCAAATGTTCCAGGTCCCCGCAAATCTCAGATGGGGCAGCGTGGCCAGGGAGCGAGGAGGGGGCGGAGGCCATCTTGGACATCCAGAGGCAGGTTTGCATTGTGACCACAGAGACGACCCGCGTCTTCAGCACAGCGGCAACGAGCGCCACAAGTAAGTCAACCTGTCGCAAATTCCTCCCGGAAGTCCAGCAGAAGCAACTTCTGTGGAGCACAAAACTGTGGTGAGCCGTTGGATGAGCTCCCCAGAGGGACATCGGCAGGGCGGCTCAGCCCCTTCTCCGTGATCGGTTCACTTCAAATATCAAAAAAGTCGCAACTCAAAATGTAAACCACTGTGGATGTTCTCTGGCCACAGGTTTGGCCACCGTGCACGTTCTGTGGCCTGGCGTGCCAGCTGCGGAGGATAGGTGCCTTGTGACATTCAAAATATAAAGCATGTGGTTCTCAAATGGCAAAGTGGGGTGGGGGGGTGATGGGAATTGCGGAATTCTGGGGCACCAGCACTGACCTCGGAGCCCCAGCGACCTGGAAGGCGTCTTCGGGGGACCTGCGATCAACAGGGGGGCTTGTTTTCATGTGTGCTTCCTCCCCCGGCCCCTCGCTTCTTCTCAAACCCTCCTTCCAGAGTGCTTACTGCAGTTCTCCCCTCAGGCCCGCCCTACATGCAGGTGACGATTGAGGACGTGCAGGTCCGCGCCGGGGACATGGCCAAGTTTCATGCCATCATCGAGGGCGAGCCCCAGCCGGTGGTGGCCTGGTTCAAGGTAGGTTGCAGGCATCTCCAGACACAGGAGCCAGGGAGGGGAAAGGAGATCCATCGAACCGACTGGGATGCCGGAATGTCCAAACAAAAGGGGGAGGGGTTTGCGCATTCCTTAAGAAAATGCATGAGGACTAGGAGCACCATCGCAAGGGTTTGGGCTGGAGTCTGGGCACAGCTCTGGAACCTCTCCTGGGTGTTTCCTTCCTTGTGTTTCCTTCCTTCTCTCATTCAATGTCTATACCACCCAACAGGCAAAACTCTCTTTCTCAGTCTTTGCTGTGGTACGCGAAAAAGAATACCTCTGAGCACGTGCAGAGTGCTTTTCTTGTTTTCGCTTAGCAAAAACTGCTCTTGCAGATTTGTTGCTCAGTGGCAAAATGCTTCCCTGGAAGGAGTCCATAAGATGGAGGAGGAGAGATGATGCAAGCTGCCTTGAGCCCTTTGGAGGAAAAAGGCAGGATATAAATCACAATATAAATAAATAAATATAAATAAGGGGTCCATCTGCTCTGAAATGAATACCAGCAACAACAGTTGTTGTGTATTTATTGCCCACCTTTTCCCCTCTTGTGAGGAACTCCAGGCAGCGTACCTAGCTCCATTTTATCCCCACCACAACCACCCTGTGAGGTAGGCTAGGCTGAGAGTGAGGGACTGGCCCAGAGTCACCCAGTGGGCCCACGGCCGAGTGGGGACTTGAACCCGGGTCTCCCAGGTCCCCAGTCCAGCACTCTCCCCACTGCAGACCTTCAAAGGCACGGCATCGCCAGCAACCTTCGCACGGCTCTCCAGAAAATCTATGCCGCTCATCTGCATTTTGTATTCACATCTGCAGCTTTCCTGGGGCAAGTCCACACCCCTGAATTTGCGTGTGAAACGGTCCCCAGGCGAATGCGTGCATGGGTTTCGTTTCCCCCCGCTGAAAAGTCTTTGCTGGCATGTTGCTCTGAGCCCGTACAAACCACCACGAAGGCGTTCTGCTTAAACCGGGTCTTGTGTGCACTGCATTTCCCGGAGCGAGACGGGTGCACAAGACGACACGGAACCGTGGACTGGGCGCGCGCCTTCCTCATACCGAAGCCGTGTCTGTCCGCTCTTATCCGCCCCTTTCCATGGTGTCGAAGCACTGAGCCATCCCCTCTCCCCATCTAGGGCATTTCCTTGCTGGCCGACAGCGAGAGGGTCCATCAGTTTAACGAGGGCACACGGTATTCGCTGGTCCTGTACAACACCCGGCCAGAGGATGGCGGCGTTTATACGTGCATCGCTAGAAATGCAGCGGGGGAAGTCTTGTGCAAAGCTGAACTCGTGGTGCAAGAAGGTAACTATGCAGCCGCGCCCCCTGCTGCCCGCCCCCGCTTTCTTTCTTCCTGTTGGGTGCTCTTAATTTATACTGTTAATTTATATTATTCTATGGAAGTTGATTTATGGATGTGAGCCGCCCTGAGGCTTCGGCAAATGGGGCGGCATAGAAGTCTCCTAAATAAATAAATAAATAAATAAATAAATATCTATAGAAATACATATAAAATCTGGAAACATCCTGGATAATAATTTAAAACCAATAAATAAAATCAGCAATTATTAAAATATCGTTTAAATATAAAGGTCTTGGTCTGGCGCCGAAACACAAATAACGGCGCCAGGCGGACCTCTCTGGGGAGCGCATTCCATAGATGGGGTGCCACCACAGAGAAGGCCCTCCTCCAGGTGCTCACCCTCCTTATATCTTTCCCGGAGGGTTCCCGGAGAAGGGCCTCTGCCGCCGATCTCTGTTACCCAACAGCTGATGCCTTCCCTCATGCGCATATTCATTTAAGCATTATATGTTTATACCACCCAATGGCTGAAGCTCCCTGGGTGGTTCACAAGTATTCAAAACAATTTAAAACATAAAACACAGCATGGAACTCCAGAAGCCATGCCGGGCGTCAAGCTGCATGGCTTTAATGTGGGATTAGGCGCATGCATGGAGTGTGGCCGCTAGCCTAGACGGCTATATATTGCCACCGTATCAGAGGCCGTGCGCCCGTGTGCAGCACCTGCTGGGGAACATGGGTTGCACGCCTCCTAGTAGGATCCCACAAGCAGCTGTCGGCGCACCCTGCGGACAGAACGCTGGACCGGATGCACGCCCAGTCTGAACCGGAAGGGCTTAGTTAGTCCTACTTATAGTAAACCCACAAAAATCAGTAGGATTTCACTCGTTCAGGAGCAGCTGAGATCCCATGTCCTGCAGTCGGTCTGCACCAAGCGTGGCCACGTCTGGCCCAAGCCTCTTGTGTGGAGCAAAAATTGTGCAAAAATTCAGGGATGTGGAGACTGTTTGGGTGCACGAACACGGCCGTGCAGGGAGCTGGGACTTACTTGTTCTGTCTGGATTGTCACAGACAAGAAAAGCCAGGAGGGAAAGAAACAGAGCACACGAAGAAAGCTGCATTCCTTCTATGAAGTCAAGCAAGAAATAGGCAGGTAAAGCCACTGTTCTCTTGCCACTGAAGTCTTAACGGTTGTGTTGTGGTTGCACCGGAGGCCTGGGAAAGAGCAGCCAGGCAAAGTTGTTTCTGCCACTGCGGGAGGTTTAAAGCGAGCCCTTCGCCCGCCGTGGGCTCTTGATTCTTCGCAGGGGTTCCTTCGGCTTTCTGAAGAGGGTGGTGCACAAGGGCAACCAGGTGTCCTGCGCAGCCAAATTCCTGCCCCTGCGGAGCAAGACGAGGGAGCAGGCCTTCCGGGAGAGGGACATTCTGGCCGTGCTCTCGCACGCAAGGATCACCCAGCTGCTGGACCAGTTCGAGACACGGAAAACCTTAATCCTCATTTTGGAGCTGTATCCTTTCTTCCCGCCCTCCGAAGCCCTGGAGTGGAATGTTTGTTATCCAAGTTGCGATCGGGCAGGGTGGGGGCCCTTTTCAGTCCGAGGGCCAAACTCCCCACCGGAGAAGCTCTCCGGAGCCCAGTGGGGCCCAAGAGGGGACCGTCTTTAGAGGTGGTCCAGGTGGTTGCCAGTGGGGGGGAGATGGAGTGGGGCCACCTGGAGAACCCAGGCGAGCCAGACTGGTCTTGGCAGGAGTGGGAGTGAGCTGGGCAGGGAGTTTGAGTGTAGCATCCCCACAGTTGCACTGAGTAATTTTGTCAATGTCAAAGGCGCTTGGGCATCAGTGGAGGTGGTGGGTTATTAGAGTGTGGATTATCACCAATGCCCAAGATTTATTTAGTGCACATGCCCAGGGTGTTCAAAGATAGGCTAGACATGCACATGGTGGGCATGTCGTGAGTGGAGCCAGCTGGAGCTGGGGGTCAGACTAGGGGCCCAGGAGACCCCTTCTGACTCGCTCTGTTTCTGTCTTCCTATGCCATGAAGTTGCTTCCATGAAACTAATTTCTGGGTCATGTTTCCTCTGGCCTCCATTGCACTGTCTAAGCTTAGGATATACAATAGTAGAGAGGAGCGAGGAATCTGTTTGGGGCGGGATCTGTCGGACTCCCTGGGCTCAGCTCCCCACATTCTGGTCTGCCTTGTGGGGGCCCAGGCTCTGAGCTCCCGGCGAGTGCGCCCACCCTCCACAGGGCGCTTGCTGCGCCTCCCGCACGGCACAGAGAGCCTCCGTCAGCTGCCGCTGACTGCACCAGACGCGGGAGAGGGTTGTCCGCTGGGGCCACCCCCCCCCCACAACTGCTAGCAGGGCCCCTTTTCCGCATCCTGCAGCCGCCCAGCCAGGAAACCTGCCTGCTGTGGAGCTGGAAGTCTGCGCGCATTTGCAGCGTTCGCCTTGGCTTGGCTTGCTCTGCAGGACCGGGCTGCGCCCACGAGGAAGTCCGCGGATGCCGGAGGGATGGATTCCGCAGGGGTCCGTCCCATCCCTACTGAAAAGCATCTCTTCTAGTCTTGTCAGTCCTTGTCAAGCTACTGGAGACCCACCGTCCGCCCACCCCAGCTTAGAGGATTCTTCTGAGAATGGACCATCAGAGAAGAATCTGTCTCCTGAGCTGCTTCACAAGAAAAAGCGCTCCATATTCCTTAATATTTTAGATGCTCCAATGAAGAGCTCCTGGACCGGTTGTTCAAGAGGAATGTGGTCACCGAAGCAGAGGTGATGGTCTTTCCTCATGTTCTTTTGGAAGTGGTGTAGGATTTTCAGTAGAGGGAGTATAGCTTTGCTCTGGAATAGCTCTGGAAGCAGAAATATGTCTTGCAGTGTAGCATCTTGAGAAATCCTCTGATAACAGCTTGTATTCCACCCCTCCTCCCACAATTACAGGTCAAGATATATATCAAACAAGTTTTGGAAGGGATCAGATATCTCCATGAGAACCAGGTGCTGCACTTGGACATCCAGGTAAACCTTGAGACAGGGCGTGCGTTTGCGTCAAATGTGTACCAGGGAGCAGAGGAAATGTTCCAGGAATGCTGCTCACCTCCGTGAGACTTTTCCACACAGGATGAGTGTAGAAAGAGTCACACCGACAGACAAAATAGCCATCCTTCAAGGGGCTGAAAGGATAGGGGCTAAGATCGCTCCATCAGGAAAGGTCATTCTTGCCAGGCCTGAGACCAGCAGTTCACCCAGCCGTCTTCCCAGCATTCCTGGGTTCTGTTCCTGGGTGGCCCATATTCCTCCCAGGCTCCGCAGAAACAGTTCTCCAGAAGCTCCCTTTCTTAGGTAGCATCCAAGCCCCACACCACACGTGTTACGAGATCCCCGTAACGTCTGAGGCCTGCTGGTCCCTCCGGCCAAAGCCTTAGTTGCAGGAGGCGCCATGCGGTGCTCCGTGCTTGTGGGGGAAGGAACCCCACCAAGCCGGTGGCTACAGGCAAGACAAAGAACGTCCGGGGTGTTTTCGCGGTACGGGCTGACCCCACCTGGGAGGGCAGCCTCGCTCCCCAACGGGGCTCCTCTGCATTGATGTCCTTTGCTCTTTCCGCTTCCACAGCCCTCAAACATCCTGATGGTTTATGATGACAGAGATGATATTAAGATCTGCGATTTTGGCTTTGCTCAGAGGATAACTCCGGCTGAGCCTCAGTACAGCAAATATGGATCTCCAGAGTTCGTCTCGCCAGAAATCCTCACCCAGTCACCAGTCTCAATGGCCTCCGATATCTGGTAAAATGTCCTTCCGCCTGTGCTGTTATGAGGTCTCCCAGTGGAGAAGGCATTTCGGCCTTCCAGGTTTACAGTACTTCCTCTGTGTTCGCCATTTTTATTTGCCATTGTTCTCAGTGTTGGTTCCAATGGGGGAGGAACACATTACCAAGGGGGGGGGGGGTTGGGGGGCCAAGCATACCCTCTTTTCCCACTTGGTGCTTGGCACCTTTTCGTTCAGCCCAGCTCTGACGCCAGAATCGAACCGGGGCTGCGGGGAAGGTCTGCCCCATGTTCTGACTAGTTTCTGGGTTTCCCCATGGAGTCAAACTTATTATTTATTTATTTAGGAGGCTTCTATGCAGCCCCATTCGCCGAAGCCTCGGGGCGGCTTGCATCCATAAATAAACTTCCTTAAAATAATATAAATTAACAGTATAAATTAAGTCGCCCTGGCCAAAGAATAAAATGAATCAATACTATTTACAATTAAAATGACATTTGAATAAAAAGGTCTTCTCCTGGCGCCGAAAAACAAATAACGACGGCGCCAGGTGGACCTCTCTGGGGAGCGCATTCCATAGATTGGGCGCCACCACAGAGAAAGCCCTCCTCCAAGTACCCACCCTCCTAATTTCCTTCACGGAGGGTTCCCGGAGAAGGGAACATGGGAACTTAGCATCAGAGCATGTCATGGATGTGACATTATATATCCCACGTGATCCTGGAAGCCATGCCGGTGGGAAGAACCTGGCCATGCTGGAATCCCGAGCACACAAGCTGTTCGCTTAGCAGGAGGGTCCCAGCAGCAAGCTCTGAACCTGACCGAGGTGGAGAAGCAGGTCTAAATGGAAAAGCCCAACGCTTACTATAGGTGAACAAATGAGAAGGGTTGTAAGATGCTCATTCTGGCAGGGAATGATAGGAATTGTAATTCAACACATCTAGAGGGCATCAGGTGGGGAAAGTAACTCAGACCTCCTGAGGATCAAAATCTTCTTCTGACATTGGCAACTTTTCCGTTTCCGCAGGCCTGTTGGAGTTATTACCTATTTAAGGTAAGCAGATCCAGTGACAGGAAGCTCTGCATTACGGCCCTGTTCCCTTCCAGTCCAGCTCTTCCTAGAGTTGTCCTGTACTTTTCTTTTCTGGTTGAAATTCTTAAGTGGGAAGAAGCCCCTGCATGTTTTTTTCAAGTGAAGCAGTGCTTGTGAATCCCTTAACATATTGCCCATCTTTGAGTGTGTAAGGGCACAAACCTACAGCTACCTAGAAAGAGAAGAACTTCATCAATCCCCAGCAAACCAATACTTAAATATGTACCTAAAATTCATATTTCTATTCTATTTTCCCTAACAAATTGGTATAGTTAACCATCATTAACTGGGTAATGAATATTTGGGTCTGATTTAATGAATGATCATCTTTGGGCCTTGAAACTGTTTTTTTCTGCTGATTTATTTGATCTGAAAATAACTGGTCATTAATTTCTTGCCTTGAGTGTTCTCTTCTTTAATTAACCATTAATTAATATAATCAAATTGATTTCAATTATTGCCTACTAACTTGAAGGCTTTTTCAAGGAGCTTACTTTGGATGGATCCCCAATTTTGGCTAACTGCACGACTTTTGGCAAAATCCTAAAGTGCACAGTTTTGAGACACTTTTTGTGCCCAGAGAGACAAAAGGCTTGGGAGCTTGGATGCCAGGAGGGCTGCGTTCCTCCCGCACATCTTCCCTGAGTCCTGGTCTCTTACATGGAGAGATGCGAATATAAATTTTGAACCTGGCCACTGCAAATATAAATTTGGACGGACACACGAAGGAGGAGGCTGTCAGTGGCCACTAGCCCTGCCGGCCACGTGCTTCCGCTTTCACCGGAGGCGGCCCGCCTGCAGGCACCAGTTGCTGAGGAGCGGGGCAGGCCGAGGTCTTGCACCCCTCTTGCTGGGGGGATCCTGGGGCAGCTGGTTTGCTGCCATGTGTACGGGGTGCTGGACTGGATGGACCTTGGGTCTGATCCCCCAGGGCTCGTCTTATGTTCTTACACGAGCTGTGAGATCAAAAAAGACCCCACGCTGTGCCTGATCTCTTCAGAAAGTTCAGTCAAGACACTGCAAAGTCAAGCAAATGGAATCTACTGCTGTCGGGAGGAAAGGCTTTGTGTCTGAGCCGAATGCAAGCAGTGTTTGCATTCAGGTGGAATCCACCCATTCTCCATGCCGGCACTATGCCTGTGGGCGTGCACCTGCACACAGAGCCGTGGATCGGGGCCATGCGCTCTCCTTTCGGTCCTTATTTGCTGTTAGATGGGACTCAGTGACAAATGTGTGTGTGTTTTTGCTGTTTTTTATGACCACGGTTAGCCTGACGTGCAAGTCTCCGTTTGCGGGGGAAAACGACCGAGCAACTCTCCTAAATATTCAGAATGGGACGATTGCGTGGGATATCCCCGAGGTCGTCCATTTAAGCGACGAAGCGAAAGATTTCATCAGAAAGATGCTACAGCCAGCCCCAGCGTGAGTGCCCTTCTCGTCCCCTTCGCGAGGTGTGAGGGATGGAGAGGCTGTCGCGGCTCCTTCAGCTCTCGAAACCCTGGCTCCGAAGTGCCATTCACGAGACTGTGCGGTGGGCAGGTTGCTTCCCAGGGCACTGGGTCCACTGCTGAGGACCTGTGGACTGCTCACTCCCGGAAGCTCCTGGGCGGAGGGTTCCCAGAACAAGCAGTCTGGAAGTACGGTGCAGCGACAGCCTTTTCCGTCCCTTTAGCAGATCTTTTGCAGTCAGAGAAAAGGCAAGATGGTGGGAGGATTCAGGAGGAGTTACCCTCTGAAGACAGCCCTTCTGGCGACGGGTCGCAATGGTTCTCCCAGAATGGCACAGACATAGAGCTGGTGGGAGGCGCAGCTGGGAATGAGGAATGCCCTGATGCGAACCAGTCCCCTCCTTTGGAGCTGAGCCCCATGGCTATGGGGCTGCAGAGACAAGGGGCCCGATTAGACAAGCAGCGTGTAGAAAGGAGGCACGGCCAGGGAGAAAGCAAGCCCGAGTCTGGGGAGCCGGGCTGCGGGAACCCAACGGGCCCCCACCCCAAAACCGGATCGCTCATTCCCCTGGCCCTTGCAGCACAGGCCTGGTCTGGAAACGCCCTGTGTTGCTCCGTCAGCCTCTCTTTGAGACGCTCACATCGTGGGAACTTTCCCAGCATGGTGGGGAAAGGGGGCAGAAGACGGGGCAGAGGGGGCGGGGGTGTGCAAAGGTGCCGAGGACGAGTTCGTGCCAGGGAGCAGCTGTGACGCTGCCTCCGTGCACCACTTGGAATCGGAGCTTGGCAGTTGCCACGCTCAAGCACTCCCTGTGCGAAGCGGGATGCTTCTCTGGCCCTTCAAGGAAACGACACGTCGTCTTGGTCCCAACCGCCATCATGACATCCTGGCTGAATCGTGCTGTTCTTTGTCCGCAGGGCGAGGCCCACGGCTCTGGAGTGTCTCTCCCATGCGTGGTTTGTGGTACGTTTTGACAGCTTCTTGGCCCGACCGTCAAGGAGCTGGGAAGCGCCTGGCCCTTTCGTTCCTTCTCACCCGATATTTTGCATGTCTGATGTCGCTGATGTAGGTCAGCGTGCTTCATAGGCAAGAAATGCAGGCCCGGCTTGGTCACTGTTGGCCTGATCCCTTCAAACAAGCCATCCCAGCCTGTGGGTATGGCTGGAAGGAGGTTTTCAGGAGAGGGGAAGGATGTAGGGAAGGGAGCCGAAGCTCTGAGCACTGAAGGGCCTCTTGGTGCTCTGTGGTGTATGTTCTCTGGCAATCTTCCGTCTGGCCCAGGGCAACCAGTGAGGGGCACGGTGAGCCAAGCCATGCCTGCTGCCAGGTGAAAGGGGGCGATCTGAGACCCCGAGCATCACCAGAGAATTCTAGGGTAGTAGAGCTGGAAAGAGCCAAGAAGGCCATCGAAAGGCGCCGGTCGCCGGTCTGTGGGCCAGATTCACAGATACTGGGACTCCGTCGAGGCTCCTGCAGCCTGGGCCAGCCTCCCGACTCGTGCTCAGCTGAATCTGCTGAGGAGGATGCCGGACTGGCTGTACCTTTGCTACAGAGCAGAGCACGGGAAAGTGACATGCAAAGAAGCCCTGCATGGAGGGGGTTGAGGGATGCACCAAGGGGAACGCGCCAGGTCCGATTCTGGGTATAGATGGTGCCAATGGCATAGGACACTGCTCTTTCAATGGGTGACCACTGGGGTATCCTTTGGGAAGGAAGGAGTGGGGCAGGGAGACCGAGTGAGTGAGTGAGTGAGAGAGAGAGAGAGAGAGAGAGAGAGAGAGAGAGAGAGAGAGAGAGAGAGAGGTCTTTTTCCTGAAAGATGGGTCGAAAAATTATTTCCACATGGCTCCCTGAATCGTCATATTCATGATATTCTCCTCTCTTGCTTTCCTTTGCAGCAGGACCTCCCTCTTGAAGAAGCTCATTTTATAGACACAAGGCAGCTCAAATTCTTCGTGTCTCGAAGCAAATGGCAGGTCAGTCCAGCCGTTCCACGGCTTCTGCGTCAGGGCGCGTGTTTCGGTCTCTTGGTTCCGGGCGCGTCGCAGAGGCTGCGCTGGGCGTAGTTTGGTTTCTGTTGCAAAACGGTTAAAAGGGTCCTTTAAAAGGTTGCAGCAAAGAGGAGAGAGGCTGCTGAAGCATGGCCGTTTCTAATCTGGCGTACTCCGGGTCTGTTGGACTACAACTCCTAGCATCCCCAGCCAGCATAATTGGGGAGGGCTGATCTGGGGACCTAACTGTGCATGACTTTAAACAGACTCATGGAGGAGTTTTTAAAAAGTAATGGTGAGCGGAGTGTCCATGCTGAATTGGGAAACAGAGGTGGCATCTAATCCAGACAGCAATTAGTGTAATGAAGCGGGGTGGGGGTTGCCTTTTAATTTTTAATTATGTTTGTTTGTATATGATAAGTCACATTATTCATGTCCACAGTAAAAATAATTAATATAACCAGGTATGAAATGGTCCGTCGCTGTGTTCCCAAAGGCTTCTTGGCTGGGTCATCAGCTGGAGTGCCATCAGAATTAGTGTCATTAGGGAAAAAGCTCCCATGGGCAGCAATGTGCCCCCCTCCCCCCACCCCCCATTGCAGCAGGAGGGGGCAGCTTCTGCCAGGATTCGGCTGGGGTTGGGGGGAGGGAGGGAGGGTCAACCCTTTGCACCCCACGCACTGTGCTCCCGGTGCAAAATTGGCCCACCCGACACTCCCTATTCAATCATACGGTGCTTTGATCGGCTGAGCTTTCCTCCTCGCCGCTGTAACCCCTGTGTGCTCTCCTTCCTTCCAATGCTCAGCGTTCCCTTATGAGTTATAAATCGGTGCTTGTGATGAGGCCCATCTCAGAAATCCTTGCGAAAACCAGCAAGAACACCTCCCTCGGCATCTCCCGGCACCTGGTGGAAGAGACCAGCTCTTCCAGCACCAGTGGCTCCTCCTCAGACAACGAGATCTCCACCTCTCCGGGGAGAAGACAGTTTGGGCCCGTACCGGAGCTTCACTTGTCTGTGCTGGAAGACTCGAGTTGCCCGGAATATGAGGAATTCATGGCCCAAGTCAGGCATTCCGGAGCCTCGTTGCCGCCAGCCAGAGCCAAGGCACCGAAACAGGCCATGGGGAAGGAGGAGCCGAGCCACCCAGCACTGGAAGCCGAGGAAGAACTGATGCCCTTGGGGCCAAAGGCAAGTGGCCTCGGAGCCACCGACTCAGGTTTGGTGCAAGAGAAATCCAGTTTGTTGCTACCGGAAGGAGACAAAATGGAAGGCAGAGAAGCGGGAAGATCTCCTGGGTGCGTCCCCCGACACAGTGTCATAAAAAGCACATTCTACAGCCAGCCCTCCGAGAGCCTGGCAAATGTTCCCTCTTCGCCGAGCAAGGAGCACCGGAAACTTTTAGAAAGAGCCAAGAGAACCTATAGGAAAACGGGATACTCAAGATCTGCTTTAAGTGGCCTCCGAGAGCCCCTTCTAGAGCAGTTCGAATGTGAGGAGGAGGGAGAAGATGCTGGAGGGGACAGAGAAGGGGGCATTGGCCCTCTGATCAAATCGGCTTCTTTTGACACTGCCCAGAGATCCCCCAAAGTTGCTTTTGAAGTCTCCTCTAGAAGCCGCTCTCTGGACGATTACAGGATAAGAGCTGCGAGCTTTGCCGAGGAGCACTACATAGAGGAAGAAGCGAGTGAGTCCGTTCCCCCGGACGGTCCTGGGGAAGGCGCTGGTTTGATTCGGGTTCCCGAGGCCTTCAGTGAAGGAATTCCCCAAACAACGCCAGCGGGGGACAGCTCAAAGAGAACTAGGAAGGAGGACCAGCCGGCATTGCCTGCAGAACCCGGAGACAGGCACCGGGCGATGCAGGCCGCTCAGCAGTATGGGGAGGCCCCGCGTCCCACACGGCAACCTGAGCGCCGGGAGACGCTCCCCTGCAGACCAGAGCTGCCTCTTTCTCACGAGCAGGGGACGCCTCTCCCAGGAGCGGAAGGTCAGCGGCAGACTGCTCAGCAAGCTGGTTCAGCCGCAGAGCCAGTCCACGGTGGAGGAGGAGGGTTCCATGAGACACCTGAAGCCCCTGCACCCGAGCGTATGGACCTCATTCTGCCAAGGGGAGGCAGCTCCATGGTGACGGAGGCTCCACCGGACACAATCCCAGGGGCCTCCCCTGCAAGTGAGATGGCAAAATTCCCCCCTCGTGATGCAGAGCTGACTTCCGTCCAGAGCAGAGCAGGCACCAGAGCATCCCAAGGTGAACCCCCGATTCGAAAACCTGCCTCTCTTCCGGGGCCCTTGGAGGGCAGCGGCCAGTTGCCCCCCACTCCTGCAATCCGGGGTGAGGTGCAGCCAGTTCTTATGGAAAAGGGCAAGAGGCTGAGCGCCCGAGAGGCCGTGCCAGTGCAGGGCAGCCAAGCAGCTTCCCATCAGAAGCCTGAAGTGGCACCTGTGCTCAAGGAGGCCACACCTGTGGCCAAGGAGAGTAGAAGTTCAGGCATCCCCATCTCCCCGTCAGTCAAGCCTGCTCTGCCCATCCCTGGAGCGATGGAGCAGCACCCTCTGCCCCAGAAGCCTCCAGCCCCCAGTTTGGCAAGATCCCAAGAAGAAGCCATATCCAGGCCGATACCTCCTGGGGAATCCCGAAAGGCCTCGTCTCCGGGGGCCTCCCTTTCCCACGAAGCAGTGCCTGCTCTCCCTGAGCCGAAAAGCCCTGCTCAGCCAGCAGGAAGTGTCCAGACGCTGGCTCACGCAGGGAAGCGTCCGGCACTTCTGCAAGAGAAATCGTTTGCTCCGGGGGAGATGAAGCCCGGTGCCATTGAAAAGAAGAGGCAGCCGCCGTTGCCTGTTCCGAGACATGCAGGCTGGCGTCTCGCTTCCACGAGTGCAAGTCAGGAACAGGGATGGGGGGAATCTCGGATGTACAGTGGGTTTGCTCCTGCTGTTCCAAAGGGCAAAAGTCTGCCAGATTTAATGGCTCCACAGGCGGCCACAGCCCCAGCGTCTCCCTCCGAAGCAGAAAGCCACAAGCGCCTTCATCGTACGTGGTCGGCTCCCGGTGAGGTCAAGCCATCCCTCCTAAAGAGTCAGCCACCATCTGTCCCAGGCTTTTCTCAAGGAAAAGGGACACTATCCGCAACTCCTGGGAAAGGAGTCCCATTTACCCCAAAGAAATCCCCAGTTCCCAGTGGTGAAGGCTGGAGGAGGGGATATCCTTCCATTTACAGCAACACGGAGGCCGAAGCGCTGGAGTGCTTGGTGGGCGAGATGGATTCCCTGTCCAGAGAGATGAGCGTCTTGGCCGAGTCCGTGTCTGACCAAGAGGGATCCAGGAGCCACGTTTCCCCGTCCAGGGAAATGTTCTACCAAGGCTCGCCTGGGCAAGCCGTAAGGCGAACAGCCAGGTGTCCTGTGCGCAGAGGAAAACGGGAAGGGGGCATCGGCTTGGCTGACCCCTCAGAAGAAGGCATCCTATACCCTGGGGAGGAAGACTACTTCGGGGTGCTGCCTTTAGCGAGTAAGAAAGCCAGGCTGTCCCCCTCTTTCGGAGGTGCAGAGTTTGCTCGCCCCGATTCGGGGGGCAGGTTCCTCAGGCAACGGAGTGACCGGATGTATGAAATCGCCCTGGTGCAGATTCAGGATCTGTGGGAAGACATGCCCCGTCCCGACAGCAAGACCGCCAAATATGACATCTCCGAAGTGGAACCTGCCTTCCTCAACCTGCACGAACTCTACGACATCGTGTACTTCCCCTTCGAGTTCCTGAGCTTCAGGAAAGCCCCAGAGCATCTCCCCAGCAAAAGGCGTTTGCCTCTGGGCGAAAGGGCAGGTTTGCCCCATGGACTGAGGGCTCCCTCGCACCAGGACAAGAAAATGTGCGTCAGAGACCACGCGCAGGGTGAACCCACCAGGGAAGCTCCCAGGGACGAAGAACGGGCTTCACCTGAGCTGATGATAGACCCCACAGCCGTCCAAGCACCCCGGTTAGGGAAACGGTCCGATTCGGAAGGCGATATACCCGTTGGCTCTCAGCAAATGTTTGGTCTCTCCGAAGACCCAGCCGGCCAGCGCAGGAGTTCTCTGCAGAACAGGCTGGGACTCTTCAAACCTTTTGCCAGATCTCAGTCCATGGAGCTGGTAGAGCAAAGTCTGAAGAAGAAGATGAAGGCGTCTGTTGCCCACCTTTCACGGATGCTGGCAAGAAAAACATCTTCTGACGAGGAAAGCAGGGAAGGTAGCGTACTTCCTCAGCTGGGCTGGGCTGGGCTGGGCTGGGCTGGGCTGGGCTGGGCTGGGCTGGGGGGTTTATATACCCCCAGTGCAAAAGGAAAGCAGGATGGGGACAGAAGAGGAAAGAGAGCCCCCTGCGGCCCTTGAGGAGGGCTGGTGGAACAGACCTGCCTCCATCCCATCTGCCCCTGCCCCTGCCTGCCAGAATGCTGGCCGCGGTTGTGACGATCTGGCTGTTGTACGCCAGTCCGAAGTATGAGTTCTTTAGAACAGTTCTCCTTTTCAATAGACTCCGAGGAGCGGAAGGGCGAGCAACAAGAGCGGACGTCCTTGACGGAGGCTGTTGGCGTTTTGAAAAAGAAAACAGGGTTTCCTTCATTCACTCTTCCAAGCCTCAAGATAAGAGAGAAAGGTGTGTTTTATGACATCAAAAGCTATGGGGGGAAAGTGTAGGGTGAAAGGTGTACAAGATGGTGTGGCTGGAGCCTTTTCGGTGAACTAGCCGAAGGCAGCGAGCATCGGTGGGGGTTGGCCGATTGCATGCCAGAGATCTGATGGTGGGAGGGAGTCCATCGGATGCCCTCCCCAGCTTTCTCCTCCACTGGTTTTTTGGCCTGTCTGTGGGGAACTCATTCACTGAAGGTCCAGTTCTAGGGAGGCTTAGATGGAAATCTGGAGGATCCCTGGGCTGGGGACTTTTCCCTGTCTAAAGTTGCACAGGTTGACCTCTTAAAAACATAGAAAAAGCCCAAGTCAGCCACCCAGGAATCAGCGCTTTCCAGCTTGTTCCAAGTTCTGAAAAGCTCTTTCTCTCCACCGCTCTTTTTCAGCTCCTGCATTTGTTGAAGAGCTCACCGACCAGACGATTGCCTTAGGGCAATCTCTGACCCTGTCCTGCCGGACATCTGCCCAGTCATCTCCTCGTGTGGAGTGGTTCAAAGGTGATGCAAAGCCCGCATCTGGCCATGGTGATGTCTCAGGGGCAGGCGTGGGTAGCCTTCGATGAAGTGGGGGGCAGAAGGGCTGGTCGGACTCTGCCCCCCACCCTTTTATCTGTGCGGTGTGTGCACACTCCCAGTGGAAGTCGTGGGGAAAAGAGGGCAGTCAATGAATGAGGGCTACTGGGTGTCAGTGTCCAAGGCGAAGGTGAAGGACAGCATCGCTTGGGTTCAGGCACTTGCCTTGAGGGGTTCGGGATGGATTGAGTGTGGTTTGTCTTTGAACGATGATTTGTCCTTGAACGGTGGGTGATTGTGTTCTCTGAACCCAGCCAAGATAACAAACCACGGTGAACAGCCCGCAGTTCACAATCCAGGAACAGACTATGGGTTCTCTTCATGGGTTGTTTCTAGTTAACAAGCCATGGCTTAGTAGCACAGCTGGGTTCACACAGCATGATAACCCGTGGTTTGGTGACAACCTAGCCTCAATCCATGTCCAACGCTTGATTGTAGGTGATCTGAATCCCATCCGTTCTGTAGCCAGGGGTGCTGAATTCAGGCCCAGAGTCCAAATCCCATCTCCAGATGGTTCCTGCTTCTCCCACCTCAGTCAATGGGTGGTTTCCCAGCTTACATGTGTTTTCCTCCATTCTAAAAACGGAACAGCCTCTCTGAAGGCTTGGTTGCTGGCGATCAGAGCTTTCGGTGATGAGACGCTGGCATCTGGGCCCGCGTGAGCTCTTCTCCACCTGATTTCAGCCCCCTGCTCTACAGGGAGTGATGGAAGGCTGCTGAAAGGCGTATGCCTTGCTATCATCCGGCCCTGCTGTCTTCACACAGGCCATCACAGGGTGGAGCTGGTGGAGGACGGTCCCTTGCCCTGAATGTACAGGGATGCCTGTTTCTTTCCCGACTTCATGATGTCCAGGTCCACCCAAGGGGAGAGACACCCTCCCGCCAGGTCCCCTGCAATGCAGGGGCCAGCTTCTGGCCTTCAGCCCCAGGGCCTGTGCTTCGATAAGAGGCGATCCGTGCACTCATGCCTTTCCCCCTTCCAGATGGAGCGTCCCTTCGCAGCACAGACAGGATCCTGATTTCATCCACACTGAAACACTTCCAGCTTTTAACCATATTAGCAGCGACCACAGAGGATTTTGGCACGTATGTGTGTTCGGCCACTAACTCCCACGGCTCCGTCTCAACCTCCTGCGTAATCAGGAGGGCAGGTGAGTAACGGTTCCTCTCCCCTTCGGGTCTGTCAGCACTCGGCAATAGCGCTTCGTAAAATCCCTTCGGAGCAGACGTTCCAGCCTCGCTTTCCCCGTGGTGTGGGCAGAAAGCCTTCTCCCGCAGGGCGACTTTCTTCCTGCCCCCCGAAAGGCCACTGTCTGTCAGAAGGTGCCCCCGGCAGCCTTTCCTCCCCTGGAATGCACGGGTCCGTTCTTGCTGGCCCCAGCCTCTAAGCGTCCTGCAGGAAAGAAGTGGAAGGGAGCTACTCGGGGACAGTGCTACGCCATGCTTATATTTGAAGGCCGCTTCCATAAAGGCCCGGAGACGATGCAGGCAAGTCGTGCAGTTGGTTGCACACTGACAGAGGCAGTTCCGAGCTGGGATGCTTGGAGGACGGCTGTGCTGAGGCCTGGCGTGTACGGAATATTCCTGGGAGAAGCCCGGAAGAGTAACAGACATTCACTCCGCAGCGCAAAATGCCGATTGCTCAAGTGCCGTTCGTGTGTCTGTGTTTGCACAGCGACGGGGGGCCTGACCAGGATTGGGACCGTGGCGCGTGGTTCCTTTTCCCCATACTCTGATTGCAATAAAAATCTTTCTTTTTCTGATCGTGCTGTTAGCCTGGTAGGGAAGCTTTCGCCGAACATAGTGCGGGCTTCCTTCCGGGGCGGCAACAGCTGTGCGCCCCCTCCACATCACAGAACCATCAAGCTGCCCTCTTTTCCGACAGAGACGCCTTCCAATCCACCAGCCCCCGACGTGGTGGAGGTCCTCGAGGATGGGGTGCACCTGGCGTGGAAGCCCGTGGTGCTGAGCACCCCTGTTGCTTACAGCGTGCTGTGCAAGAAGGATGGTAAAGAAGGATCCGATCGGTCGTGACCCCGTTCCCCGCCTCCTAGCGGCTGCCCCATGTCTTTGGCTCCCCCACCTCTCACGCCTGAGCTGTGCAATCGTAAGGGAGTCCAGAGCGGTCCGACCCACGTTTAAGAGGCGCAGATATCCCGACTACACCACCGTCCAGAAGAGGCCAAAGGGATTTGTTAGATCCAGCACAAAGCTAGACTGTTTTCTGTCCTGCCCAGCATAGCAAGAAATAGGGTGCCTTCGAGTGGGTGGCTTTAAATCTCCAAAACAGGTTGGACAAATGACCACCAGGCGAAAACAAAATATGGATGCCTCGGAGGAAGCGAGAGTGCTGCCGGTGGCCCATCTTTCTTCCAGCTTTTGCCAACCTGCTGGTTGGGGCATGCTGGGAGTTGTAGTTCAATCTATCTAGAGGGTGCCAGGCTTCAGTGGGGGGAGTGTGCCTGTAGCTGGAGACACCCTCCTGGCCTACCAGTGTTTTGGTTTAGAACTTCCACAAGCCCCAGGCATCATGGTCGTAGCCGGGGATTATGGGAGGTGTTGTCCCGGTTCCATACTCGTGTGTACATGCGTTCACACAATACTTGCCTGCACACACGCTTTTTAGACCCAAGAAATCGGACTGTGGCCATTGCTTTTGGAGAAACACCTTGAAGGAGCTGGCAGGGCACAGGATGGGACCCGGGAATCCCCAGCGGGCTGGAGCGTGGAGCACGGTGTGTGCTGGTCTGGGGCCCTGGAGGCCAACGAGGGGTTTCAGAACCAAAGTAAGATTTCCCTTCTCTCTCCTTGGCCCAGATGGAGAATGGAAGACCTTGGCCAGCGACATCACGGGCTGCCGCTACACCGTCGAGCACCTGCCACGGGGCCTGGTGTACTCCTTCCGGGTTGCCTGCGTCAGCCAAGCCGGCGTGGGCCCGTACAGCAACCCGACGGCCAAAGTGAAAATCGGCGAAAGGGATCAAGCAGGTGCCGTGCGCAGCGGAGCGGAATACATTAGGGCCCTTAACCTTTTTGGCCACTTAGACCTGGATTCATCTCCAACTTCTAGGAGTGCCGTTAAGCGCCGCACGAGCTCTGCTTTTTCTGCAGAGGCCAAGACGCCCTTCTCTGTGCGATCATTCTCGGCTCCCAGGGAATAGCCTGCAACACAACACCACTGGTTAGATTGTGAAGCCCTGACCTCTGAAAATGCTGCACCAATCAGTGGGCAGAGAAATTAGGGGAACGGTTTCACTCCATTTAGCTTTTGGAAATAGGTTGGCAGTCGGGTCGCTGTTTGTGCATCTGCCACATTTCGCGTCCTAGGGCAATTTGGAGGCATTGTGCGTAGGAGAAACTGGAGCTGCTACCAAAAAGAAATATGCAGTGGGGAAAACTTGAAAAGTAGTCCTTTTTTCTGGGGAACAGGAGAGAGAGAAAGAAACATCGCAACTATCTTCCCAGAAAATGCCTTCTGAGCATTTCCGGATCAGTTCTATTTTGGAAAGGAGTGTAAACGGGTCATGATAGTGGGTGACTATCCCCAAAATCACCCAGTGAGCTTCATGGCTGAATGGGCACTAGACCCCACTCACTCACTCACTCACTCTCAGCCCAGCCTACCTCGCAGGGTTGTTGTGGTTGTGAGGATAAAATGGAGCTATGTGAGCTGCCCTGAGTTCCTTAAAAAGGAAAAAGCTGGGATATAAATATAAATAAATAAAGGCACCCTCGAACCTTCATACCACACTGGCTCTCTAGGATGGATATCTCAACATTCATGATGTTTCGAAGGTCACATGAGTTTTGGTCTGTATCTGTTGTCCAAAGTGCAAATGGAACCCATTTCAACACATTCATCCAGAGAAAATGAGCTGCTGAAGATCCTACTTAATGGTAGCGTTTTGCAAGGATGCTGAAGTGTATGGAGTGAGGACACAGAAAGCTAGCTAGGCCTTAATGAATTTTGGAGACCAAATAAATCTTTCACGTAGATTTTGAGGAACTCAGCAAGGTTGGGTTGGGTTGGGTTGGGTTTGCCTAACCGTAAGCCACAGTTGAAAACTGCCTTGTGGTTGTGCCTGAACTTCCTCCCCCACCCCAATAAACTATGGTTCAATAACTAGCTACAAGCCAGCAAGATAAGCCTTGGTTGTTATAAAACCTGGTTTGTTTAAGCCATGGCTTATTGTGATGTCTGAACTCAGCATTGTAGCTTATCTCCAGTTTGTTTGTGCTGTGCCCAGGAATGGAGGCACCCAGCAAGAGCAGCCCAAAAATGAAACTGCTATGAAGACTGGCAAATTGGGTGGGAGAGCAACACATCAGAAACGGGGGGAACAAGCTGTAGTTTGCTCATTTGCAAGACAGATCAGGCTAAAGTAACATGATGCGGCTGACACAAACCACGGCTGGCGTGAACCAAGGCTTACTGTTTTAGGTGAACTCACCCACCCAAGAAGCACACCATCCCTGATAGTGTGGAAAGTCAATTGCATTCTGCTTGTAGTGCAGAGCAGAAAAGCAAGGAGCATTTTGTGTCTGGGGCCACTCAGCAAGAAAGCGGCTTTGGAAAGGGCTGCCGAAGTCTGTGTTATGCCAGCAACAGCTTTCCTGCTTCAACACTCCCTTTGTTATCCCCCTCTCCCCACCCCTCTAGCATTCCAGTCCCAGGAAGAAGAGGACAGCAAAATGACGGCTTCGGCTCAGCCGACGCACCAAACTTACGCCTTCCAGACGGAGATCAAAAGGTACAGAGAATGATTTGCACCCTGAGCGGTCTTGGAGGCAGGCTCTGCTGCCCACTTCTTTGAAACCAGCCCGTTTCTGCCCACGCAGGAATTCATTTGTCAAGCAGGACCGTTTCTGTAGCAAGCTGGGTCCGCCCGCTGTGTGGAGCGATCAGAGGTGACCGCAGCTTTTTGTGGTCCTGGAAAGCACCCCGTTCATGCCCCTTGATCCAGCACAGTTTGCCACTTATGGGCCCGGTTTATAGGCTGGGAAGACCGGCAAAATTCATCCAGGGCAACAGATGAGCAAGTTTAGGAGAAAAGCCTCTTGCGCAGGATGGCACCTTACAGGAATAATGCGTCTTCTTTCGTCCTGGATTAGCCTGCTTGGATAGGTCAGACCGTAGAGGGAGAAGGCAGCATGTGAAGGGAGAGATGCTCTTCCTGGGGTCGGGGGACAACCGGAAAGCTGTCTTTCCCTCTCTCCTTTTGCTATAGTGATGGGGACAGGCAGTTAAGAGAGAAACGGGTTTATTGTGGAAGTGAGCGAGAGGGTGAATTCCAGTCCTGCCGAGGAGGCTCCAGTCAGGAGAAGGTTTGCCAGGGCGCCGTGCAGGCGTGATCAACACCAGGGTCTCAAAAGGCAGAGGCCGACAAAAGTGGCAAAGGGGGTTTTCTGCAGGAAGGGGAGGCAGGGTGCGGCTTCAAGCAGCTCCCTTCCAGAGCACCGCTGGAGCCCGGGCGATGCACATATATGGCAGGAGAAAGAGTGCGGCGGGGCTGGGCTGCGGCTGGTCTCTATGGCCTGCAGCAGATGAATCGCAAGTGTGTATTTGTGGTACAGGGAGAAAAAAAGGAGGAGACTCCATGAGGGGACTGCTGGGCGAGTTGCTGCGTGTGCTGGGGTTTTATTTGTGGACGAGGGATTTAAACTCTGTGCCTGGGAAGCAGAGGTGTGGGCGCGTCCCTTCCATTCATGATGCCGTGGCAGCTTCCCCTGCTGTTCCAGCCCGAACATGGGCTTGGTGCCCTTCGGGACAAACGTCTATCAACGTTCCCGACCTGCTGCTTTCTCAGAGAAGGTCAGCAGGTGGGCTGGGCATCCCCAGGAGAAGAGAGGTGTTTGGCTGACAACAGCATTTTTCTCTCCCCCCCCCCCGCCCCGATTTTGGGACAGAGGGCGCTTCAGCATCGTCAAACAGTGCCGGGAGAAGCTCAGCGGGAATCCCCTGGCTGCCAAAATCATCCCCTACAGGCAGGAAGAGAAGGAGGCTGTGCTCCAGGAATATCACATCCTGCGTAAGCTTCACCACAGCAACATAGGGCAGCTGCAAGGGGCCTACGTCAGCCCACGTCACCTGGTGCTGATCCTGGAGCTCTGCGTTGGGCCTGAACTCCTGAATGCCTTGGCCGGAAGGTGAGGCTCCCAGCTGCCGAAGTTCCAGCCGCCCGCTCGGCACGCTTGAGTGAGGGACTGGACTCCCCAGTGGAAGCCACAGTCCTGAACCGGCAAGGGCTGAGCAGGGCTGCCGCAGATACGGTGGGCTCTGGGGGGCTTTCACTCATAAGCCGGAGGTGACCTGATGGCGCATCACAGCCGCAAGTGTATGCACGGCGCCTTCCTCCTTTCCTCTTCCTCCACCATTTTTCACAGGTTTCTGTGCATCTCTGGGTTGGCAGTTTCCAAGAGCCATCGGGGTTTTACCAGCTTCTCTTCTGCTTCTGCTTCTGCTTCTGCTTCTAGGGCATCCTATTCCGAGGTGGAGGTCCGGGACTATCTCTGGCAGATTCTCAGTGCCGTGGAGTACCTCCATGCTCAGAATATCCTGCACCTGGATCTGCGGTCAGAAAATATGATCATCACGGAGCCGAACCTGCTCAAAGTCCTGGACTTCGGCAATGCCCAGTTCTACACGCCGGACAGCGTGATCAGCGTGGAGGGGTGCACGGACTACGTGGAAACAATGGGTGAGTAGGCGCCATCGGGGCCTGCAAGGGCAGCACTGGCGGAAGGGCCGGATCGCCAAGGCCAGGTCCACACCCAGGGGAAGGGGCACAGAGAGCTGCCGTCTCCAGGCTCTTCGTGGCCAGGGCGACTTCTTTTCTTTTCTTTTCTTTTCTTTTCTTTTCTTTTCTTTTCTTTTCTTTTCTTTTCTTAACTTTTCTTTTATAACTTCTTTTATATCGTTTATTTTTTTTATATTATCAATTTTAATTTTATATTGTTATTTTTGTATTGTATTGTATTTTATTGTGTTGTAAGCCGCCCCGAGGCTTCGGCAAGGGGTGGCATAGAAATGTTCTAATAATAATAATAATAATAATAATAATAATAATAATAATGTGTGCTGACTCACAAGAGTCTTCAGCACATGCAGAGGAGAGGGACACTTCCCGTGGGAGCCAGGCTTCATTGCAGGAAGATGCATATTTGGTGCCAGGGGTTCAACCCACCCCCAACACTCCCTGGCGATGCTCTTAGAAACATAGAAAACAAAGCGAGTCAGAAAGGGCCTCCCGGGCCATCTAGTCTGACCCCCGGCTCCAGCCGGCTCCGCTCACGACGTGCCCGCCATGTGGACGTCCCTCTTCAAAGGGGAGAGGGCACGGAGGGGGGTAGGATTCGGGGGGGAACCGAAAGTGTGCAGCAACCAGAGGCCAGTCGAGAGGTTGCCGAGGGAGCGGCTGAGACACCTGCTGATCGCGGTCTTGAGAACACGGAGTTAGCCTCGGCCGAGGGGAGTGAGCAGATGCGCGCTCTCGCAGACGCATGCCCAGGCTGGAGACAAGACAGTTGGAACGACGGCGGGGGAGAAGTTTGCCAGAGCCGCCCATCAAGGGTCGGCCCAGGCGAGTTAAAAGTATCCCGTGAACTGATCTCATTCAGAAAGAGAGGACAATTTCAGCAGCAGCGTTAGCATCCTCTCTAGTAGTTGTAATGGTTAACTTTATGTTGAATAAAGACTTTAGTAGTGAGAAATGGGTTCTTTGCTTTCGTTGGGAAGGAGCACCAGCCACACAACACCCGGCCTCTGTCACCCAGGGCTGTCTACCCCACCTGGCGATGCCGACCCATCGGGGGAGTTCTCCCCAGCCGCCCAAGCCGGGCTTTTCAGCAAGCCACCCCAGGGCCTCCGCCTGGCCCCTTCTGCGGGCAAAGCGTCTGATTTGTGGCTCATTCCCTGCCCGAGAGATTATTTCCTAGACGAGGGAGTCACCTATCCGAAACCCGGCTTCCTCTCCCCGCACAGTGCCAAGAACGTAGCCTCGGCATCACATGCCGCTGAACAAACCCAGCTCTAATCTGGCTGAAGTCCTGTGGAAAGCAAAGGAGGCTTCATGGGGTCGGGCCTAGCTTGTTCCACCTATTTCAGCAGCACCGAGCTCCATTGAACCCCTGGCCACCGATCCCACCGCTGCTCGTCCCACCTGCCGCACCTTCCCCCTCCGCTGTCATCTTCACCCTTTGCTCTCTCCAGCCTTTGGCTTGTCATTCCGCCTCTGCCAGCTGTCCTGCCACCCCGGCTTCCCAAGGCTGGCTCTGCACCGAACCTCGTTGCAGGACAGCTCCATCCCGCTTCCCTTAATCCCAGTGTGCACAGGAGCAAAACGGGGGGAAATGGACAGCTGCCCACCCTTAAAAAAAACCAGGGAGGAAGAGAATGGGAGGCCAGCTTGCTCCCCAGGGTGAAGCCAGTGAGTCTTTTCGCCCTGTTCCTCCACCCAAAAGCAGGCAAGGAGCAAGAGCGTTGCCCTGTTCCTTGTGTCTATCGCACCGTGGCAGGGAGAGGAGGAGAAAGCCCCCTGGGTCACCCTATAGAGAAAGGAGGGAGGCGAGGCACAACGCTGTTTGATCGGTAGCGGTGTGGGAACCCCACAAGCAGGGCAACCCTCTCCGGGGCTCTTTTATGGGTTTTATTTGCTTCCACAAGTGCCCCAAGCCATGCCACAGACGGCTCCTGAGCCGGTTTCCTAATACAGAGGTTTCTTCTTAGCTTCAGAGCTTCTGTCGGACAAAGGAGCTGTCCCACAGACGGATATTTGGGCGATTGGCGTCACGGCATTCATCATGTGAGTCTTCTACAGTTCTTCCACTTGGGAGTGTGTTTGGTGTGGGGCAGTCCCCCTGCAGCCCTGGAGCTCACCGGGTGACTTTCAGCCAGCCTGTTGTTGCGGGGATAAGCTCAAGAGCAGGGGGAGAATTCTGTAAACCACTGTGAATTCATTGGAAGAAAACTGGGACGCTTTGCTTTGCAAGCAAGCAAATAAATAAAAAATAAAATAGGGGTCAAACCTGCACATTCTAACAGGTGAATCATATTTAAAATATGCCCTCGTGTTTGCCTGAATGAGTGAGGAAAGGGGGCTGTTTTGATGCGCGGCTTCTGCCCAAGCTGTTGGCAACAAACAATAACAACACGCTTAGTTTGTTCCTTTTCTCTTCCGAGGTTGAGCGCTGAGTATCCCATCAGCCCCGAGGCCGCGTGTGACTTTGGGCGACTGGTCAAGCGCGAGAAGGTCAAGCTCAACCGCTGCTACGCGGGCCTCTCCGGAGCAGCCGTCTCGTTCCTCCAGAGCACGCTCTCCGCCCAGCCATGGTGAGAAAAGCCTCCGCTAGGGGTGTGTGGGGATTCCCTTTCGAGGGTGTGGGTCTCTCTGATGCGCTGGCTCGGCTCCCCGGACTCTGGTCCACGTTGGTGCGGCTCTGAGTCCAAGTTCCTGGTGAGCACACTCAGCGTTTGCTTGCCCCTCGCCGGGGACCGAGCCCCACACACTGCGCAAATGATGCGCCTCTTGTGCGTGCCGCTGCGCAGAACACGGGAGAAGGGCGCTGGCTGCACAGCCGTTGTTGCACAAGCGTCTGCAGACGCCTCTCTGCTCGGCTTGCTTCCTAAGACCAGGCTGAGCCCGAGGGAAGCTGGCTCTGCTTGTTCCCATCCGCTCAGAGACACGCACAGCTGTCTTTCGAACTTGGCTGGTTGGACTTCGTGCCCCATCCATCTGGTCCTGTTGAGACCCCCATCTTCTGTTCTCTGCCAGGAGGCGTCCCACAGCAGCAGAGTGCCTTCAGTCTCCGTGGCTGCAGGAGACCGGCCTGGATGAGCGTCAGCAAGCCACCGTGACGTTCTCCACCACCAAGCTGAGGAATTTCGTAGCTGAGCGGGAAAGGAAAAAGGCCCTGCTTTGCTCCAAGTACGGCCTGATGACCGTGTAGCAAAGCTCCTTCAGACTCTGGCTCTCTCCGCCCGCTTCCGCATCTTACCCACCATCCAAACAAGGGCTGCAGCTCGTTTGCATATGCGGACAATTATGCGTCATCAGAAAGCAAGTTGTCGCCAAGTCACAATTTGTGGACACAGCTGTTCTCTTTCATGATATTGTTTTCATGACATGTTCTTAATAGCCTGGCACAGTTGGGGTCAACCCATAAGTGGGAGCAAAGATGCGTTTTAACTACAGGAAGTAAGAAGGGATAAATATTATGGAAATCTTCCTGTCCACAGAGCTGTTTAAGGGTGGAAGCACTCCATGAGGAACGGGAATTGTCTTTCTTGGGTGTTTCTTTTAAGGAAATGCTCATCAAAAGTCCATGTCGGATGCCTGAATTCATTCAGCCTTAGCTCAGGGGTTGTGCTAGCTACGTAACTTCTTATTTCCCTTCTAGTCTTTTCATTTTTATTCATGGACAGTCATTCACTGAAACAGTTGATTGTGGTCTTAGTTTGAAATTCTTGCCTGTTTCTACAAGCACCATTTCCGGGTGCATCTCCATAGTCATGATGAACCTGTCACAGGTGCCTGGAAACACACCTGTAAAATTCTCTGTGCTAGACAGAACGCAGTCATTCAGTGGTGAAAGAAGGGTGCTGTGGCATATGTAAGCTAGCGCTTGTCGACTAGGGTCATTAAACAGGGACAAAGTCTCATCTCTCGGGGCTGAACAATGTCCAACAAAACCTCCCTTTGAGCATGGAAAGGCCCATGGTGTCCTAGCTAAGAAACAAGCGTTAGCTGCACACTGAAGCAATCCTCAAGCACAGCTGTGCTCTAAGCCATAATCCATGTTCCCCTGCGTTACTGCTCCAGCCAGACAGGATGTGCTCTTCTTTCTGCGTAGCCACTCCTAGAAGCTACACCTGTAAGGCACAGCCGGCCATTTGCAAGTAGGTGGAGGTTTTGAGGTTGTTTTTACAACTTTATGCATATGCCCTGCCTGTCTTCTCATGGCAAGTATCTGAAGGCATCTTGCAAGGTTCTCCTCCACACCAACAACAACCCTGTGGAATAGGTGAAGCCACCACTGGCTCAAGGTCACTCGTGAGCTTCAGGGTTGATCGGGGCTAGAATCCAGGCGTGCCGGGTCGCCAATTTCACACGCTGACCACGGCACGACACGTGCAGTCGAGAATGGCAGCATTTTCTATAAGCCCTGTTGCAACTTGAGTGGATGCTCGGAGAAACTGCCTTTCAACAAGGGAACCCGCCAGCAGCTGTTTGTGGCTATGGCAATCTCAGTGCAGGGCTCTTTGGCATGTAGCTTGGTTGCCGAGCTGGCCAAGAACACGGGAACTGGACTGGGGCGCATTTCCTCCAAATCCAGCAAAGGTCTCGAGGCCAGTTTGGTGCTCAAGGAGCCAGGAACCAACTTCCCAGGCTGGGCTCTGACAGAGGAACTGGAATGTAGTAACTCTAAACAACGCGTGTGAACAATGGAGAACCTTTTACCGCGGAATGGTCGGGGAGAAGCTGCTTGTCTCGTTGAGGATCATGGAAGGAGCTTGCCAGAGAGGTCCATAGAAATGCGCCCACATCCCAAGGGATGATGCGCAATGCTCCCATCACTGGAGAGTCTAAATCATCACAGAACTGCGTAACTTCCACAAGCCAAGAAATTCATAGTCTTACCTTGGGGGTGGGGTGTTTGGGTTTGCTCTGTTTTTAATTTAAAACAAGTAGTGGGATGCATGGAGTCTTGTATTTGCCACGATTGTAATCACCCGGAATCTAATCCGAAATCCAAATATTTCCTGTTCTGCCGTGGTGGCCAGACATGTCTTGCTTGATCCTGGTGCTTCTCCTGAGACAAACAATACCCTGAGCTCAAAGGGTGCTGTCGTAGCTGCTTGGACTGGCCGTCTCTGAGCTCTTCTGGTGTTGGCATTTTTGAATATGCCTCCAAAATCATGAATCACTGGTAGCTGCCCCCACCCAGTTCAAGAAAACCAAACTATACCTTAACCTGTTTATCCTGCATTGCCCCCAGCAGCTACTGTGGTTACTTTGCCGTGTGTTAGTGCTGTTAACTGTGAATTTCCTTGGCAGAACTAACCTCGTTTTGTTCAGATTCTTTCAAACAAGCCTTTTGTGACGCTCACCCTCCGTTCTGCCCAGCAGATCATGTGTCTTTTTTTTAAAACTTGCATTGCACAAAGCCGATTGATGGAGAAACTGGTTCTAAATATCTCAAGACATTTTAAGCTTACGAGATGATGACCTTGTCAGTAAATTTGGAAGGGTGGGCGCAAATCCGAGGAACTGAATGAAACTGAGTGAAAGAACAGTTGGTCTCTAACTGCTGGCACAAAGTTTAAAGACCTTGAATCATTAGAAGAGACAACAGCTGTAGCCTGTTCGGCACTTTAGGAAGAAACGGTTGCTGGAATATTTACAATCAGAATGCTAGTCCTTATGATAGCCCTGAATAAAGTTGAGAATTTCATCTTTAATACTTCAAAGGGTCGTTGCCCTGAGCAATTCAGTTTGCCTCCAAGCCTTTCAAAGTTATTCAATCTGGCCAAAAAACCTGTTTTTAAAGAAAATTGTTTCTGCTTTAATGGCTTGAAATTGCAATGCCTGAAGAAGAAACCATCACTGGAAGAAGGAATTTTTACATTTTATTGTGGGGTATTATTTCGATTTTAGTCTCAACAGCTAGGCGTTTAGCACTTTTTATTTTGTACATGACGTGGACGGTGTGACTTGGATTCCGCCCCAGCGGCCTGCATGTAGAGCATGACTAAACATGGGTCTGAACATGAAGCTGTTTTGCATTGAATTCTAAATTAAATTAAACTATTTTAATAAGGTTTGTGCCTAAGTCAGTGGTTCTGGTGCTAATATGCTGGCAAGAGCCAGCACAGAGACGCTTAAGGGTGCGCACACTCTGCACATGGTGTGCAGAGTTGTGGTTGGATCATGCTCCTCTACATGTTTGGGCAGAAGAAGACAGACAGCACCCAGTAAGGATTTATTTTCGAGTGGTTTTGTGTGTTCGGACCTGGCGTTGGGGGCTCAGGACAGATCAGGGATTCTTCCCCAGCAGTCTCCTTGCCTGAGCTGATGGAGGTAGCCTCAGATTAGGTGCTGAGGACCCCCACAAAGGTGCTTCTGTGGGACCTGGGCATCCACGGTGAGGCGGCCATCTTCAGGGCAGCTCAGGTCTTCTTGGCCTCCAGAACAACCGTGGAGCTGTTTCAACATATCCTTGCAACGGCGCACGCTCTGGACCTGGTTTTCTTGACAGATCTAGAAGACGGTGGTTCAGATGAGGTGGGCTTGATGTTAACCCTTTTGTCATGGTCTGACCATCTTCTGGTGAGCTGTAGACTACCGGCCCCTTCTCCCCTCTGCCAGGGTGGGGGACCTATTAGGCTCGTCTGACCCCAGACACTGATGGGTCTGGGTGGTTTCCAGAGGTCTCTGGGGGAATAGCCAGCCGATATGGTTGGCACACCTGCTGAATCCCAAGTCACCCTGTGGAACACCAAGACGACTTGAACAGTGGGCATGACATGATCGCTCCCAAGCTCCCTCCCTGCCCTGGCAGAGCCTAACCAACTCAATGGTATCCAGCTAAGCTCAGGGCAGTGAAGTGAGAGGAGAGATGGCTTGAGGGCAGGTGGAAGAGATCTCAAGACAAGTTTGACCAGACACAGCTTAGAGCCTATTCTGTGGCAATAAAGGAGGCAAAACGCCAGTATTTTGCCTCTTCTGTGGTATCTTCACCATGTCACCTCGCTCAGCTTTTCTGAGGCGTGCAGGTCTCCTACAGACTGGACCCTCAAACAAGACCACCGAACCTTTGGTGCTTCACTGTGATGAATTTGCCTATCATTTGAAGACAAAGCCACTCAGATCTACTACAAATTGGACTCTACAGTTGATTTAGTGCTATTAAGAGAGGTGTTCCAGCACACCCAGTTGTGCAGCTTGGAAGGATGAGTTTCAATGACTAGGACCAGATGTTGTGGACCAGGTGCCACCACCTACATACTTGACCGTGGTCCCTCATGGCTCATTAAGAAATCTTGCAAGGGGGTTCATGCCTGGGCTGAGGAAGCTGTGGCGAGGAAGTGGTCCCAGCCCCCTTGAAGAAGGCTGTGAGAAGACCATGCCGGAAAAAGCCCAAGCTGGACCCAGGGGCCATTGCCAACCATACATCCCCTTTTGGGCCAGGTGCTTGAGGGGGTGGTGGCCGAGCAGCTCCAGGTACTTGTGGATGAAACAGATTATCTAGGTCTGTTGCATTTGTGCCTTGGGCCAGGGTTTGGGACAGAGACGGCCTTGGTCTCCCTGTGGGATGAGCTTTGCCGGGAGAGGGACAGCTGGAGTGTGATTCTTTTGGTTCTCCTGGACCTCTCAGCAGCTTTCGACACCATTGAACATGGTGTCCTTCTGGGCAGGTTGGCTGAGATAGGAGTTGGGGGCACTGCTTTGCAGGGGTTCCACCCCTACCTGATTGTGTCCAGAAGGTGGTGCTGGGGGTCAATTGCTCTGCCCCATGGTGGCTGCACCACTGAGTTCCACAGAGCTCCATACGCCCCACTCCCCATGCTTTTCAAGCTCGGGCAGGGGCATGAGGTGCCATCAGTAATCGGATAGCACCCACCTTTTCATCTCGTTCTGATCAAACCCAGGTGAGTTTCCATCCTGAATCACTGCTTGAGCTCAATCATGGACCGGATGAGGGCCAGTAAATTGAGGCTCAGTCTGGACAAGATGGGGGTGCTGCTGGTGGATGGTCTGCCTGCCCAAATGTGGGGGCTTTCAACCTGTCCTGCATGGGGTCCCACTGCCCCTGAAGGACAGGGTCCGAAGCTTGGGGTGCCCCTGCACCAAATCTCCTTGAGTCTCAGGTAGGCTTGGTGGCCAGGAGCGCCTTCTTTCAGCTGCAGTTGATTTATCGGCCCCGGCTCTACCTGGACAGACAGCGCCTGGCCGCAGTCACCCACGCTTGAAACAGAGCAACAGAGCGAATCAGAAGGGCCTGGGCATCCTCTTGATTGGTGACGTCCCTGCTTTATTTATTTATTTGTTTATTTAACATTTTTATATGCCGTCCCCTTGCTACATAGAGTCGGGATGGCTCACAGAAATAAATACAAAATAATGACAGTTTCAATTAAAACCCGGAAACACACTGGCTGCACAATTAAAACCTATAAATATTATACGTTGTTAAAATACTGTTTGAATAAAAAGGTCTTGGCCTGGCGCCGAAAAACAAATAACGATGGCGCCAGGCAGACCTCTCTGAGGAGCGCATTCCACAGTCGGGGCGCCACCACAGAGAAGGCCCTCCTCCGGGTACTTTGCTTCTTGATCTCTCACCTGGAGGAGAGCCTCTACTGCTGATCTCAAGGGGTGGGAGGGCTTTACGTGGGGCTGCCCTGAAAGATGCTGGTACAGAACTGTGCAGCGCGACTGCTGGCGCAAGCACACCCACATCATCCCAATGCTCGACTAATTTCATGGGTTGCCAGTTCAGCTCCTGGCCCAGTTTAAGGTGCTTGTCTCAGCAGACGAGGCCCTGAGCAGCTTGGGACCAGAATTCCTGCTCCCATATGCACCTGCCCAACCCCTAAGACCAGGTTGGAGCCCTCCTGGAAGAGGCACCCCAAGGAGGCGAGGCGGCTCTTTGCGGCCTTCGCGGTGGCTGGGCCCCACCTGTGGAATAGCCTCCCGCGAGGACTGGGCCTGGCGCCGTCATCTCCGTATTCTGGATGCCGGGCAAACCGGGGCTCCATTTTGATAATTGATTTTTAGTGTATCCAGTTTTTTTTAAAGGATTGTATATGTTTTTATGGTTTTAATTCACCATGCTTTAACTCTCAGCTGTTACACTGCTGTTATCGTTGTGCTGGTTTTACTTATTGTATTGTTGTATTGTTTTATCATTGGTTGTGTTGTAAACCGCTTAGAGACTCCTGGGAGATGGTAAGTGCAGTAACCAAGCTTAATAATCAGACAGACACAGATTTGACCCAGCAAGAATGGAAAGTTCCGGTATAATTCAGGACCTTCATCAAGCTGCCCAAGGGGCTGGTGGGTCAACAAGGAGGTAGAAGCGAAGCAGAGCGCAACTGTTGTGTTACCGAACTCAGCCGGTCAGCAGGTTAGGGGCAGCCCATGTGGACCCCAGGGTCAAAAGGAGCCTGAGACGAGACTTGGAGCCAAACCAGCTTTATTCTAGTGCACTGGAGAATAAAGGGAGACACAAGGGGACATTCAGCCCAAAGCAGTGTCTCAAAAGTTGCACCCCAGTTCATGCGCTTTGCACCCTAGGTAAGCAATTCGGTCACCTAATACACCTCTGATGCATCAATACGTCAAAGTAGCCACAGCTGTTCGCTTCAGAGTCCTTTCTTCTGTCAAGGACCAGACAGTTCCCATGCCTATTTCTTGTCTGCTCGCGATTCACACAGGCTTGCCATGTTCTTACTCCCTGCACATGTGCGACTTTCATGGAGGCTACAAGCAGTTTCCACCGCCCCTTTGATTACTGTATTCGAGGACAGGCTGGCGTGTCAGCTGTGGGTTTCATGAAGTTCATTTTGTTCTTATCCTCCCTCCCTTCTGAGACAGGAAATTCAATATGACTGTGGTTTTTTCCTATGTGGCTTCCCTCTGACCAACTACTTTTGGCGTGTTTTGGGGTGCTGCAATTATTTGTTTATTTATTTAGGAGACTTCTATGCCGCCCCATTCACTGAAGCCTCGGGGCGGCTCACAACCATAAATAAACTTCAATAAATAATATAAATAAACAGTATAAATTAAGTCGCCCTGGCCAAAGAATAAAATGAATAAATACTATTAACAATTAAAATGACATTTGAATAAAAAGGTCTTCGCCTGGTGCCAAAAAACAAATAACCACGGCGCCAGGCGGACCTCTCTGGGGAGCGCGTTCCATAGATTGGCAATAGTCGTCATGGGTGTTGTTGTCCATGGGCCGGTCCAGGGCAAGGCTGAAACCTCCTTCCTCAGCATTGCCTTCCTTGCTCGGTCCCTCTTAGATCCCTCTGGCAGGTTTCCCTTCCTCACCCCTAAGGCATTGTCCTTGCTATCAGGTTACTCTGACCTGGCCTCCTGCCAGGTGGGACGGCTCTTCACGAGGCCGCCGAGCTGGGATGGCTCTTTATGAGGCCGCTGAGCTGGGATGGCTCTTCGTGAGGCCACCGAGCTGGGACGGCTCTTCATGAGGCCACCGAGCTGGACGGCTCTTTATGAGGCCACCGAGCTGGACGGCTCTTCCTGAGGCCACCGAGCTGGGACAGCTCTTTATGAGGCCACCGAGCTGGATGGCTCTTTATGAGGCCACCGAGCTGGGACGGCTCTATGAGGTCACCGAGCTGGGAGAGGGAGGGAGCCACAGGAGGCGGTCTGTCACTGTGTACCTGGCTTGGGCAGCAGTGGCACCTCCAGCTGGCTAGCTTGCCATGGACGCAATGGCAAGGCTATTTGGGAGACACTGTGGAGGGTTGAAATGGTGGCCTGTCGGCTGCCTCATGCTTCCAGGTGAGCTCACAGGGCCCGTGGAGGCAGGAGGACCCCGGAGGAGCTTCGTTGCCCGGGGCAGGTCCTCAACTCCCCCGTTGAATGCTGGAGGAGAGCCAGAGAGGGAAAGTTGGTATGGAGGTCCCTGGAGGGGGAGAGGAAGTGGAGAGGGTGAGTCTGGGAAGTGGGAAGGGAATAAGAGCGAAAGGAAGAAGAGGAGAAAGCAGACGAAGACACGAGGAAGTGAAGAAGAGTGAGCAGAACCAACACGGGATGAACCATGTCCCAAAAAGAGGTTGGGGCCGTT